ATTTGTTAAGGGCCCAGTTTCGGACCCCCGTGCAAAGGAAACGTGTTTCGAAAAAGGCTCAGAAAGTGAACCCCTTTAAAATCAAAAGTGGTCTCCCCTGGAGGGTTCAATTTTGGTCCCTTCATTGTGTCTGTCGAAGCGTTGATTTCAAGTTGAAGCTGCTTTGACCAGCAACAGCTGCGACTGGAATCTTGAACTGGGGAGGCGAATTTTTGCGCGCCTGCTTTTTCTTACGTTGTGAGGAAAAAAATGGCCTTTTCTTTCTCATATTCCATAGCCTTGAGGCCCTCGAGGCTTGCCTTGAGGCCCTCTCGGCGTGCCTCGAAGCCTGCCTCGAAGCCTGCCCCGAGGTGTTTTGTTCTAATTTCCATGGTCTCGCGACACTGGAGTTCAAAATGTGCATTGAGGTCAACTTTGTCTTATCCTATAAACTTTTTGTGTTGCTGCCATTTTCATAACCTTGAGGCTTCGAGGCTTGCCTTGAGGCCGTCCCTTTGCACCAGCTGCGGCTTAAAATTCTAGCGAGGCACCACAGTTACCAACTACTTGAAGTTCAGCCTTGCTGGGACTTCAACAATAGTATTATATAGTTTCGAGTTCCCGTGAGCCTCGCTTTGTCCTTGTGTCACTACGTTTTGCGTCCTCGAAGCGCCTCGATTCCAGGCTTTGGAACCACGGAACCTCTTTCATCAACATAACAGAAAGGGAAAGATTGTCATGGTCAAGACAAGCAGGTACAAGGCTAGTTTTTGGATTCGTTTTTGGCACCTGAAATTGATGTGATTTTTGGAGACGGAGTTGGGGCCTCCCTTGTACTTGCTGTGGCCGCTGAGATTTGATTAGTAGAAATGGTACAGTAAGTTTTGATTATGTTTGGCTAAACGTCATCAATCTTGCATATACCTTCTGTTGTGTGTATTTTCTTGGCCGTCGGAGCTGGGAGCGCGCGCGAAAAGAACTTTCTTTTCTTCAAGGGCATCAATTTTAACACCGTTTGCAATCAAAACCGACTTCCGTTGTGGGAATTGTTTTTGTCTAAAGGTTATACATTCCGGACCCTAAAGATCACTAAACACATTACGAATCATTACCACATTGCAAAGAAAACATAATTCAGTTGCCTGGGCGCCGCTTGAAAGTGGGCATTGGGACAGCACCCCTGCTCCCATAAATTTGCTAATTGAGTGGATGGCACGTCGTTGCAAAAAGCTGTACTGTAGTGTTATGTACCTATGGGTGTCTTACCCCAAGAATCCACCCAAAACGCAGGCACCTATCTGATAGTTCCAACATAAAAAAAGGAATAAGAGAATCTCATACCACGCTGTGTGGCTGATGCCTATGCTCAAGGGCTTCTCAGTGGCTCTGAGAGGTGCAGCCAGTATGCTTATCTCTTTGCATCCTCCTCAGCGTTCTCACCCTCAACATCATCATCTTCCTCCTTATCAACCTCCACCTTATCATCCTCAACTTCATCTTCCACATTATCATCCTCATCCTTATCCTCCTCAAAAATCATCATCCTCCGCTTCATCATCCTCCACCTCCTCTTCCGCAACATCATCCTCGCAACATAATCCTCCTGGACCTCAACTTCCGCAACATTATCATCCTCAACATCATCATCCTCAACCTTAGCATCCTCAACCTCATCCTCCTGTACCTCATCATCTTCAACATCGGTATCCTGTACATCATCATCATCATCATCATCGTCATCACCACCACCTTCACCACCACTATCACCATCACCATCACCATCACCACCACCACCATCATCATCATCATCATCATAATCATCATCATCCTCAACATTATCCGACATTATCCTCCTACTCCCCCCACACTGTTTGGGGTCTCTTGCCGGGATACTTTTTTTTGCAAGTCACCATAAACCGACAGGTACGAAAATAGTCGGACTCTTGTTACATGATCCTCCTTCATGTGCATGCTGGCGCTTCAGAACGGAAAAAACATAAGTTCCCCAAAGAGTGTGTCCACACTCAGGGATTCTTACGGTAAGTGTGAAGGCCGGTGCTTGATCAGGGTGCTCCAGCTCGGCCGCGGCATTTTTCTTGTAATTTTCAGTATAAACTGGATTTGTGACGCGTTGATGTGCGTTTCGACTGCGCAGGCTCGCACAGAGTGCGGGCCGCGGTTCTGGGCCGCGGCATTTTTCATAAAAAAGATTTGTATAAAAAGGCTCTTGTGACATGTTGATGTGCATGTCGACTGTGCAGGCTTGCACAAAGTCTGCGCCGCGGTTCTGGGGCGGGCATTTTTCCGGGAAATTTCTGTATAAAATGGCCCTTGTGACACGTTGATGTGCATTTCGACTGCGCAGGCTCGCACAAAGTGTGGGCCGCGGTTCTGGGCTGCGGCTTTTTTCCTGTAAATTTCCGGATAAAACGGCTCTTGTGATGTGCATGTCGACTGCGCAGGATCGCACACAGTGTGGTCCCCGGTCTTGGTCGGCGGCATTTTACGTGCAAATGGTTCCCGGTCTTGGGATCGGTCCTCGTCCTCAACATCATCATCCTGAAACATCATCATCTTCCTCCTCCTCAACACCATTGTCAACATCATCATCTTCCTTCCCCTTGATCTCATCATCCTCAACATCATCAACCTCCACCTCATCTTCCGCAACAGCAACATCATCATCCTTTTCACCACCGTCCTCAACATCATCATCTTCAACATCATCACCATCCTCCTCCTTCTCAACATCATCATCTTCCTCCCCCTTGACGTCCTCTCCTCAACATCATCAACTTCCACCTCATCTTCTGCAACATCCATTATCGTCCTTTTTTAATCATCCTCCTCCTCAATATTATTTTCCTCATCATCATTATCATCCTCCTTCTCAGCATCATGATCCTCCACTTTATCATCGTCCACTTCCTCTTCCGCATTATCATCCTCATCCTCATTCTCCTGAACATCATCACCCTCAACATCATCATCCTCAAACTCATCATCCTCAACATCATCTTCCTGCACCTCATCATCCTCAACATGATTATCATTATCCCCCACATCAGCGTGCACAACGTTATCATCCTCATCATCCTCACCACCATCATCATCATCATCATCATCATCATCATCCACCGTCACCATCATCCCCAACATAATCCTACATTATTCCTCACTCCCCCCACTGTTTGGAGTCTCTTGCCGGAATATTTGTTTGTGGGGCGTTTTTTCGATGAGTTTGATTGTTTTTTTGCGGTTTTTATTTAGTCAACATGGTCGGATATGTTTTCGACAACGAATGACAGCATGACGTTTGCATGTCTGCATCATCCCAATGTTCTCATAGTTTGTTGGTTTGTCCAAAATCAACTTGCAAGTGGTTGCACAAAATGGGAAAACAAAAACCGTTTATAATTATGGGACGTGTTGTGCATGTCTCCAGCAATTCATGTACATGCACATCGATCGTGAATTTGCATGTTGAGTTCTAAACGCGCAGGTCATGAATGATTTGTTTCGTTTAAAAAGGCAACACTGTTTCACGGTTTCACGCATGTAAATTTCAAGTATCGCATAACTTATTGCCGAGTCGCTTCGCGACGAGAACCGCCCGCACCCAAAGAATTGGATAGTGAGGAAAGGAGCGGGGGCGTATTTGGCCCAACCAGAGCCGACTGGGGTCAAACTTGGCCCAACTTCGCCCACTGCCCACATCTTGAACCCCAATGGGAGCACCCAAATTGAAGCTATGTGATGCGCATGGAGGTCCAAGTCACGTCCAAGGTGGTGCAACTTGGGACCTTTTGGCGACAGCTTCGCACCAAGCTGGGTGGAAACACAACATGGGGAACGTTGCTCAAAACGAAGTGTCATGCATGCCCAAAAAACGTGGGAAACACGGTGAAAACGGGTGTTAGGATTTCGTATTGGCCGGTCATGTCCCCCATGTTGAAGCCATGTGGACCTCAACTTGGGCCGAAGTTGCCTCCTGGGTCCAAGTTGGGCCGAAGTTGGGGCCTTGTTGGCCGAAATTGACCCAAAGTGTGGAGCCGATGTTGCGGCCGCCGTTTCGCAGGACGATTTGGGCCGTTTTGCGAAACGTGCAAATTAGTCCCGTGAGTTCGGAGTCCTGTCCACTTTTTGGCGCCCTGCCCGGGCGAACGTGAACCCCAACCTGAAGCTGTACCAGTCTGACGGATTTGTCCAGTTGCTCCCACTCCTACATGCCTCGGCATCTTCGGTGCGGCCAGTCGGCCAGTCATTGCATGACGCAAAAAACATGCATTTGACGCGGGCGGGCCGACAATTCGTTTTTGCATTTTTGTACCTAACTGTTGGCATGCACGTTCGCACACACACACACGAGATCACTCACTGCCGATTTTCTCCGGACCAATGCGCGTTCGCATTCTGGTCATTCGATGCGGCCGGGAGTGATTTCAATTCCACGAAGTATGTACAATCCTTCGAACACGACATTGTTGGAATGGCTGTGCAATAGCCAGATGTTGTTTTCAAATGTAAATGTCAAAACATGTTTGTTGTCGATTGAGATGACATTTAAATTGCCAAAAAAAACGCTGACAAAACGTTGAACACATAGACTTGCCAATTGACCTGTCACTATTTGCCATGTATTGTTTTGTTGATGCTCACTTTGGGTCAAAAACCCACGTGCAAAGAACAACTGCAAAGTACACAGCAAAAACATAGGACCAAAATTTGAAACCAAAAACAAATTCATTGTGCCGCTAATATGCCCGTGCCGCTAATCATCATTTGACCAGCATGCAACGCCCCTAGGGGTGAATCTTCATGCTTACATATTTTTGGAGAAATTCATTTGGATTCTTTTCATCAAAATGACTCCATGTTCGTCATTATGGTGATCCTTTGGATCAACGTTGAAATATTTCAAATTGCAACAACACAAACTGCATTTCCATTTCCACACATCAAAAATGTTCAATTGAAATTGTCGCTGGAGAGCAGCGTCCGATGGACATTTTGGATCGGACAGCGGTTGCATAGCTCAGTCGCCTTGCCCAGCCATAAAAATGGTGGCTCCAGACCTCCTTTGGGAATGTGTGAAGTCCGAAACTTATGTGGCAACGCCATATGGAGGGGTTTGATTGATATGATCATGGCACCAAACGGACTGACAGTTTTGATCGTGACGTGCAATAAAATTCAATCACTGCTCAGATTTCGCCTTCGAATATGTCCTAAAATATTACGTTTGGAATTTGCCTTTCTGCAATCAGGAACCAATCGTGTTTCATCAAGAAGAGGAAAAACTTTCCGGTCATGACATCTGAACCAGGACGGGGGTTCAACCGTGTGTTTGATTGTGACATGTTTTTGATGCTCGTGAATTAGTTCCATCAAGATTGTCTGTACCAGGACCTTATGAGGAGATGTTGCATTGTTGGTGGAAATGTTGTTTTGCAGGAAACCTTTGCGGCGTGAACAAGTTCCAGTGCGGGTCTTTGCCAAGAAATGGCAATATTGCTGGGATCGGTTTGATCACATTCATTTTTTTCGTTCCGAAAAACAAAAACCAAAATATACAGTGAAAACAACTTGGGAGGTATTCCATACTTTCACTAGTTGTGCATGTTTCTTGACGCCATTTAGGGGGCGCAATTTGAATTTTCCACATGAAAAATCTGGAAATAAGGTTTAGCGGTTTGGCGTCCAAAAATGTCTTGGGGCTTGATGCCAAGAAGGCAGGCAAGAAGGACTGTCCGTGTCAATTCAGTTTTCATGTTTCTCAATATATCCAGGGGTTTTTAAGTGGTGAAGTGAAAACAAAACATCATTGTTTTAAGTCTTAAACATTGTCAAAATGTGTCAAAATGTGTAAAAATGTATCAAGGAGTCCATCGTTTTGACCACTCGGAGCAAGAAGGAATCCAGGCAGGGCAGCAATGCCCATCCAGCGCTGTTTCAGACATTTCCAGCATGTTCACTTTTTGCCTTGCCTGTTTGGCTGTTTGAGGCAATACCGCCCTGGTGTGATGCTGGTGACCACCGGTATCAAGAAAGGTCCTTCAATGCTGTCGTGTTTTGGTTGATTCCCCTCTCACAGCACGCTGCGAGCCAACTCTTGTACTTCGAGTTTTACAGCCTGTTGAAACATGCCAATTGCTTTCTTTGTTCATTTGTGCGAAGAGGCAAGAAACAAGGTCCAGAACAGCTGAAAAAGGCCTTGTGGTAGAGATGGAAATCAGTTGCAGAGTGTTCAATATTTCCATCGTTTTTGTAATTTTATACAACTCAGCAATGTCACAGCAATGCTGCATGATTTTGTGACATTTCGAACCACAACCGTCACAACCCGGAACTGTGCTCAGATCATCGGAGCCACCTGGAATCGGCCTGAACTCCTGGACATGGCCTTGAAGAAGTGCGCCTGGTGCATGAAAAAATTGGATGGAACAAAACATTTGCCGACAGACTGATAGACTTCTGGACTTCTGATAGACACGGTTTTTCTCATATTTTTCAGTTTGACAACTGTTTCTACAGCATTTCCTTTACAATTGGTGTCAGAGGCGTTGGGATCAATGTCATGCTGTCAGGTACAAGAAGATCAAGCAGTCCTTCAGAAAGAGAAAGGTGGCCAAGAAGGCTGCATAGATTGGTGTAGATGAGGGACTCTGCAATGGCGATGAGTGCAAAAAAGGGTGCTGTAGAGCCGGGTACGGATGCTGAAACTCAATGGCTCAGAGGCAAGTCTGCGACTGGAACACTTGTCCCATTTTGTCCCTTTTCGATCCTTTTCGATCCTTTTCGTAAGGTTGGGGCTACTTACTTTTTTTTCGTATGCCACTGCAGCTTCTACTTCTGATGCTGTCGCTGCTGTTGCTTGCATTGGTGATTGCAGCGTTGTAAGTCTTGCGGTTTTGATACTTGTCCTGCACTCCGGAAATTGCCAAAACTTATATAATGCAAATGCAAACCATTTCTCTGTGCATGCGCTTGACTTTGACTGCAACGCTTTCTTTTGCTCCAAGCACTGGGTTATGGATACAATCTTGCTGACCCAACATTTCTTGAAATCTCTCAAAACTTAGGAGCATTTTCGTCGGCTTTAAGGCCAAATTTGTGCACACTAGCCATTCCATGCGTCGTGGAGCCAATGACATTTCATGTGGTGAAGCTTGGATGAGGGATTCAGTCCGACAACTTATTTGGAGTGTTTACAGTGTTTATATGCAGCTTATGAGCCTTCCGTGTCTTCAAGCACCTGGAGACCGCGGCACAAACCTCTCATGGCGTGGCGCAAGCGGCGCTATGTAGAGAGCGGATCCTGAGTCGCAGATTGCAAAAGCGAAGTATTGAAGTACTGGGCAGTTTACAGGGCAGTTTACAGCCTGCCATGCACTGCCATGATTGCGAAATACGCGAAATACAATTGACAGATATTGACAGACAGCTTACAGGACAAATGTCGCAGTGCGCAAGCCCCCAGGAAGGTCGGAATCTTCTCGAGGGCGCTCTCGAGGACGTTCACGACATCGCAAGAGAAGAAGGAGGAGAAGGCACGACTCACGACATAAAGAAATCGAGGAATTGAAAGATTTGAACGAAAGGGAAACAGCAGTTGAAATCAGGAATCAAGATGCATTGAATGACCTCATTGAAACCTTGAAGCGTTTAAGTTCTCTTTGCGTCCTGCAATCCACATTCACTAGGAATTGCTTTTCAGCATTCTTTTTCGCAGTTCCTCTTCATCTTCGTACACTACTTACTCCAGAAGTTCTCCATCCATTTTTCGCAGAAGTTAGTGCCTCAGAAAGGATCTAGATTTGTTTTTATCATAGACATTGTTCTCAATTCAGAGTGCTCATTGGTCCTTTAGGAGGTAGACGCAAGGCTGACGAGGCTTGGAATGCTCCTATTATTATTGGAGCACAGACTTCTCTACAGCATCATTTGTGACATTTGTGTCATATTGCAAGCTTTGTCGTAGATTCTTTCCCATTAAGATGAAGTTTAGCAGCGGATACATTTGACGAGTCGAGGTTTGAAGGCTTGAGGGACCCCAAGTTTTGTTGCATCAAAATGTAGCAAGCTTAGGTCCTTGCAAGATTTCTAAAGTTTTTGAAACGGAAGGCATTTCTTTCCGCATCATTTACATCTTTTTGCATCTTTTTGCACAGAATAAGCCAGCTCAAAAGCATGTAGGGCCAAAACTAGTCAAGCTTCGCCATCTGTTATCAGGACATCGATGTCCTCAAAAGTGAGGTGTTGATGTGATTTTGATGTTCTCCAAAGTCATAGCAGATATGTGTATATACAGTATATCTATCTATCTATCCATCCATCCATCCATTCTATCCTATCTGACCTACTGTATGTATCCTATCTATCCTATCTATCCTATCTATCTAATCTATATATCTATCTACCTATCTATCTACCTATCTACCTATCTATATACCTATCTATATACCTATCTATCTACCTATCTATCAGCCTATCTATCTATCTATCTATCTATCAGCCTATCTATCTATCTACCCATCTATCCCTGCATACCTATCTACCTATCTACCTACCTATGTATCTATCTATCTACCTATCTACCTATCTATCCATCCATCCATCTTTCTTATCGATCCATCTATCCATCTATCCATCTATCGATCGATCTATCTATCTATCTATCTAAGATACTAAGATACTAAGATTCTAAGATTCTAAGATTCTAAGATTCTAAGATTCTAAGATTCTAAGATTCTAGGATTCTAGGATTCTAGGATTCTAGGATTCTAGGATTCTAGGATTCTAGGATTCCAGGATTCCAGGTTTCCAGGATTCCAGGATTCCAGGATTCCAGGATTCCAGGATTCCAGGATTCCAGGATTCCAGGATTCCAGGATTCCAGGATTCCAGGATCCAGGATTCCAGGATTCCAGGATTCCAGGATTCTAGGATTCTATAGTTCTATAGGATTCTAGGATTCTATAGGATTCTATAGGATTCTATAGGATTCTATAGGATTCTATAGGATTCTATAGGATTCTATAAGATTCTATAGGATTCTATAGGATTCTATAGGATTCTATAGGATTCCATAGGATTCTCTAGGATTCTCTAGGATTCTCTAGGATTCTAGGATTCTAGGATTCTAGGATTCTAAGATTTTAAGATTCTAAGATTCTAAGATTCTAAGATTCTAAGATTCTAAGATTCTATCTATCTAATCTATCTAATCTATCTAATCTATCTAATCTATCTAATCTATCTAATCTATCCTATCTATCCTATCTATCCTATCTATCCACTCTATCTAACCTATCTAATCCATCTATCCATCTATCCATCTATCCATCTATCTTTCCTATCTATCCTATCTATCCTATCTATGCTATCTATCCTATCTATGCTATCTATGCTATCTATCCTATCTATCCTATCTATCCTATCCTATCCTATCCCATCCCATCCTATCCTATCCTATCCCATCCTATCCTATCCCATCCCATCCCATCCTATCCTATCCTATCTATCCTATCTATCCTATCTATCCTATCTATCTACTCTATCTACTCTATCTACTCTATCTACTCTATCTAATCTATCTAACCTATCTAATCTATCTAATCTATCTACTCTATCTACTCTATCTACTCTATCTACTCTATCTACTCTTTCTAATCTATCTAATCTATCTAATCTATCCAATCTATCCAATCTATCCAATCTATCTAATCTATCTAATCTATCTAATCTATCTAATCTATTTAATCTAATCTGATCTATTCCATTCCATTCCATTCTATTCCATTCCATTCCATTCTATTCCATTCTATTCTTTCTATTCCATTCTATTCCATTCCATTCTATTCCATTCCATTCTATTCTATTCCATTCTATTCTATTCTATTCTATGCTATTCTATTCTATTCTATCTATCATAACACTATGTATTACATTCCAGGGGTGGGGTTCGGGTGATGGGTACAATAACGTTCGGGTTTGTGGTGTGTTATTGGTGAATATTTTGTTTCTAAATATCCGAAGACAAAATGCCTTGGGTCGGCAGAGTGTTCAAGCCAAGGCAGCCCATGTACACTTTTTTGACGGCAGCAGCCTTGAATAGGGCTTGTTTAGTTTGCACTGTGCAAACCAGCCCTAAGCATATACATACTTCTTTTTAGAGATGTGTGTATGTGTGTGTGTGTTTGTACATAGATGTTACATGGTGCCATGGTTTTTATGCTCCTGCAATCTGAAGGACAGCGAGTACAGTTACTCAGAGTCAGCATCAAGTCCCAATGCAGAGAGGGTGGCTTGGTCGCAACACGCTTGGCTTGCAAAAGTATAGAAACGTGATCTCGACCAGCAGCGCGTTACTTTCATCGAGTTGTCACTTCAGTTTGAAGATTGTGATTTCCAAGGAGAAGGAAACAAAGCCTCAAAAATCTGCCAAGGGTTCCGAGAAGACCAAGGCTGCTGAGAAGCCCAAGACTTTCACAGAGTCTAAGATTCCTGAGAGGCCCAAGGCTTCTGAGAAGCCCAAGGCTCCCGAGAAGCCCAAGGCTCCCGAGAAGCCTAAGACTCTCACAGAGTCCAAGACTCCTGAGTCCAAAGCACCCGAGAAGCCCAAGGCTTCTGAGAAGCCCAAGGCTCCCGAGAAGCCCAAGGCTCCTGAGAAGCCTAAGACTCTCACAGAGTCCAAGACTCCTGAGTCCAAAGCACCCGAGAAGCCCAAGGCTTCTGAGAAGCCCAAGGCTCCCGAGAAGCCCAAGGCTCCTGAGAAGCCCAAAGCAGTTGCAAAGTCCAAAGTTGCTGCAAAGCCTCCGGTCGACAGCAAGAAGAAGGAGAAGCATTGCTGTTCTGACAGCATGTTTGCAAGAATTCAAGAGAGTAGAGATTGAACGGAAAGAAGAGTTTTGCTTTCACACATCAATTTCCATGGAATCCTCAAGTGCTTTCTTGGTGCTGGAGATTGAACACCATTGCAGTTCCATTCTTCAATTCTTTCTCAAAGTTTATTTCTGTACACCTTTTGTGCAGCTAGGAGACTGAAGAGCCAAATCAGAAGCATGCCAAACGCAAGACTGATCAGGTTCAAGGAAGTGGTGGGAATGCGCTTCCGCAAAAAAAACTGAAGGTGACACCAACTGCGCCAAAGATGCCAGAGGAAGCGGAAGAGAAGGGAAGCGAAGAGAAAACAGAGGGAGGAGAGAAAGACGCAGAGAAGGACAAAGAGGAGCCATGGGAGTTTGCGTCTCTTTGCTGGAGGGGTTGCAAGGTTTCAAGATGTTTGACTTCCACCGATATACTGGAAATCAAGGCCAATGGCATGGTCATTTCAACTAATGTTTTGAAGGTCTTGTTTCGATTCCCAATTTGAAATCCTCAATTGGAGACTGTTGTTGTGTTTGGAAGTAGTGTTCTTGTGGGGTGAATGGAATGTATTCAAGAAACTTAGCACTCTGGATGCTTTGTCCCAGATTCGTCCCCAGGTTTGTTTGATCGGCCCAGAAGTCTTGCTGGTAGGCTCTTTTGAAGGAGAAACAAGCTTCAAAGAGCCCAAACAGCCCCAAGAGTCCAAAGAGCGAAACAAATCCGAAGAGCGAAAAAAGTCCAAAGAGTCCCAAGGTTGAAACGAAGCTTGAGAGTCCCCCAGATGCCGACATTGATGAGAAGGAGGAACCCGTGCCTCCAAAAACCGCAGAAAAGGGATCTGAAAAAAATGGAAAGCCGAAAGAGGCCTGCGCAAAGCATAGCTGTTTTTGTCACTCCTGCAGTTGCACTGCAGTTGCAGCATCCTTCCTAACAAAATCATGAAGAGATCAATCTATCCACTGCGTGAGCTTTCTCACTCGGTGTTAGGAGCTGCTGGGCAAAGGCGGCCTTGACACCTTGGCTCTGCAGCGAAGTCTTTCCCAGGAGCTTTGTGAGTTGATTTGACCGGTGAAGCGGTGGAAGCACCCTCAGCTGCAGTCAGCTGCAGCTCAGCTCATGCAGCTTCCAGATGCTTCCAGATGCTTCCAGGATACCCAAAATCTTCAGCTGATGCTTCTCCAGGTGGATTTGTAATTTTTAATGCAGCGATTTGTAATGCAGTCCATCTATGTCCAGCTAACTGCTCTAACTGTTCGCATGCGGAGGCTAAGCGAGATTTAGATGATAGGAGAGACACCCTTGAGAAGCAGGACCGCTGGATTTTTGTTCTGCGGCATGCTGCATTTTGCTGTCCCGGATGTGGTTTCTTTGGAGGAACGACGCGAAAAGGACCCGTTCTTTTGCACATTGCCAGGCATTACTTCGGCAAGTTGCCAGAATTTTTGCTAAGTGCTGCCAACAGAAGCTAGAGGTGGTTCATCTGTTGGAGTGGCAGAATATGGCAGGAGTATTACCGCGGTGACTATGGAGAACCTCTGGGTCCAGAGAACAGACTTCTACTAGAAGAAGCTCTTGGACAGGGAGCCTTTTCCACAGTGTACCGCTGTCGCGACATGAAGGCCTGATGCGGAGATGTAACAGAAAAAACCATGAAAAAACACAGTATCAGTATACCGCTGATGCGCCTTCAGTGATGGACGCTTTACTATATTATGATATAGCTGCTTTACATTGCTTTATGGCTCTAGTGCTCCAACACCGCTTGCACTTGAGAGGCTGAAGGAGAGAGATTCTATGCAGCAGCTTGCATGAATTTCAGCAATTTGAAAAGACAATCCTTGGCAGTTCCTGAAGTTTTTCATGCCAAGTCAGCTTTCTGAACATACAATGATCAGCGATGATCCGCGATTTATTTTGTTGCCAGGTCAAGCTCCATGGCTGCAGAGCAACGTGTGGAAGTGGTCTTGTGGCATCTTGTGGCATCTTGTGGCATCTTGTGGCATCTTGTGGCACGGAAATTTCGTTTCTACAATAGGTTTTGTTGCACCCTTTCTCCCCCGGATTATTCACCTGAGGTTCATTCGCAAGAACAGTGTCTTGCGGACGGCCACAGAACAGGAGGTAACTTTGCATTGAACTTTTGATGCGACCCCTGTGATTTTTGAATCCGATCTCAGACATCGAAAGACATTGCGTATAGGTCGCAGTATCAAAAATAGTGCGCTGCGATGCTGATTCGTTCCACGAAAATTTGCAGCACAGTGACGCACAGATCCAAAATACAGCCAGAGTGGCAAAAGAGCAGCTGGAATGTATCACGTTATCACCACATTGCCACAATGTCTTGCCACAATGTTTTATGTTCTAATCGTGTCGTACTCCGTTACCATGTACGGTTCCGGGATGTGTCTAATCGATGGGTCAGCGCGACTCGCTGAGGTGAAGCTCATGCGCCGGTTGCGAACGCAGGCGTCTGAGCTGGACCCAATTGGGGCCCTCTGCTTCCTCGGACTTGCTGGACCTGAGGCTGTCGTCCACGGCTCACAATGCTCACATGCATTTTGAAATCATTTTTTGATCTAAATTTTGTCCAATTTTTTGAAGTCATTTTGCTTCTCGTGCCAGGTGATAGAACATGAGGGACATCTTGCACTTTGCTTCCAGCTTCAAAGGTGTGACCTTCGCTCTGCGCTGAAACGCTGGGGGCAAGGACCTTTTGCAGATTCGCAGCAATTTGCAGCTTTCCTTTCAGGGGGCAGCTTTCTGGTTGATCGAATTCATCCAAGATTTGTTCAAACGAAGAAAATCACGTGACCTTGTCGTCGGCCTCGGCCTCCTCGAGCCGTTTAACCGTTTAACCTTCACAGAATCAATGACCATATTCTAGCAGGAGCTGGTCTTCCACTGGGGCTTGTGCGCAATTATGCTGCTGGGCTTTGAGAGACCTTAGTGACATAGTGTGTAGAAGTGCTTTCTCGTCATCTCTCAAGCCTGTGTAAGCCTGAGTGGAATGACAAGAGGATCAAAACTAATCATTCGATTTGGAACCTTATCCTTTGGATTCTCTGGATTTATTTTTGTGTGGAGTGATTTGTTTCGTGACTCCTAGGCCCGAAACATTTTCTTGGCTTTGCGGGCTCTGAAATTGGTGAACATTGTGCACAGCGACCTGAAGCCAGACAACCTTTTGGTATCCATGGATCCTTGGACATACTTACCGGTACTTGGTTTGCTACTTCCAATCTCCATTAGCGCCAGCCTGTTTGCAATCTTGCAATCTTGCAATCTTGCCTACCTTTACCAAGTATCAACGCAGCCTGGACGTGTTTTTTTGTGATTGTGACTTGCATAGATCAGCGAATCATATGGAGTGGACTGTTGAACAAGATTGACTCTGACAGCTCGTACAGCTATGTACAGCTCTGACAGGACAAAATGTCTGTGAAGCTGTCGGACTTCGGGTCTGCTATGGACCTGAAAGATCGCCTTCGTCCTGAGAAAGCTGCAGAATCATTGCAGCCACGCTTCTACAGAGCCCCAGAAGTCATTCTGGGCCAGCCCTATGATACACAAATTGATGTGCCTGGGATCTGAGTTTTTTTTAAAATAATTCTGCACATCTTTGTGTGGGGTTATCGTTTTTCTGTGCACTCCCGTCCGCTCCGTCCGTCCGCCGCCGCCGTCCACCCCACAACCCTCTTTCACACACAACTTGGTCACACACACAACTATCAACTTTGTCACAAACACACACACGCACACATGCAACTCTTTGACAGACACAACTTTGTCGCACACACTTGCTCAGAAAATTCTTATCGAATTACTGTTGTGGAGTGCATCGGGCGTGCACAAACAATCCCTTAAAGTCTGACAGGAAAATTGGATGACTTGGCGAGAAAACCATTGTAGAAGAATTCTTTCTTTGTCCTTGCAAAAAGCAACTGTTCCATCTGACGAAGTCAGCAGTAAATCAGATTGCGAAAGCCGTACATTGGATTGAAACCTGTTGACATCGAGGTTCAGAGGAAGGTCCTGATGCAATTGAAAACTGAAAACGACTTGCCGGTTCTTGGCTTAGCCGGTCGCCATTGACAACAAGATTGAAATAGCAGGTACGTGACTCCAGCGTCCCAGAGTCATATCAGTCATGAATGCAGCCCTCTTCGTTGGGCAATCAGCTGCAAACATGAGATTGCCCCCCTGCAAGTCAAAGCTATAGGAAGTTTTACATCTTTTCAGATGTTCCACACACACGCCTCGCTGCCGCGAGGCTTTTTTCAAATTCATCCACCGTGAAAGCTCTTATCCGTTCCCTGAAGCGGAAATGGCTTCAAAATACAGGGAAGAATCATCGAATGAATTAATCCTAAAACTCACAGGCTGTCATCAGGTAATGCCTCCATGCGTCGTGCTTGGATAGACAAAGTCCTTGTGGATTCCGCCAAGTGGCTAGCAAGATGAGCCAAGTCTGCCGCCGAGAAGATCTGAACTGGGTGTCGGGAAAGATCTCCTTCAGGATCCTCCAGACGTTCGAGTATGGCCATGTTGGCCTCCCTGTCATTGTTGAGGATGTTCCAGAAGAACGTTGCCAGTTGATGAATCTGGACAGGAGGTGGATTGATGTCAGCATTGGCAATGAGAGAATCGGTGTCATCCATGACGGATTCATGTGCCGATTCAGGGCTTTCTGCACCGTCAGCTTGATGGGGACGCCAGTTTCCATATTGAGAGGTCTCGGGGATCTGAAAGTAGCGTCGCCAGTAGTTGGCGAGCTGGGAGGATTGATCCCATGAATCAATCCAGCCATTCTGTCCGGCACGAACATGGCCGATGATGCCGTTGAAAAAATATTCAGGTTGCCTATTGTGGTGGCGGCAAATGTGATGTGAAAAGAACTCATTATGTTCTTGTCCCTCAGTCCAGTGAGAGCGGTATGCGTTCAGATAGGTGACGAGGTATTCTTCGTTGCGGAGAGCAAACGTATCTCCAGTATCATCTTGCCATCTGATGTCCATGGCTGAAGGAGATAAGAATCGATCCCACGTATACCAAATGTGCTGGCTGATGCAATACAACAGGTTGTACACCGTGAAGGTTTCCAACCTGTGTGTGTGTTGAGCAGGATGTTGAATGTGAACAATGCACGTTCTTCGACCGGAGTGAGGCGAGGGAGAACCTCACATGTTGTAGCGGCCATCGAGTGATCATGGGTTTTGTTCATGAGCGGACGGACTTGTTCAATGTCAACGATGACCAAGACCTTTCGGACTTGAGGAGCAGGAGGAGGTTCTTCAGGTCGAGGATTTCGTTGCCTGTCATGTTGATGAGTACCACGGTTTTGCCACATATTGTCGTCCCGAGAGCGGGAGCGTTCAGGAGCTGTTCGTTGACGATGATATGAATGAGCCATACTTGCTGTGGGTGAACAGACACCGAGTAAGAACATTCATCCCAGGCAAAAGAAAGACTGACCAAAAGGGAGACCTCAAAGAAAGGACACGAAGAAAAGCAAAAAGAAAGGGAAAAACCCGAAGCAAGTCAACAACAGCCCCAAATGAGGCAGCAGTGACGCCTTTTTTGACATCGCAAGAATTGATGCTAAAGTCAGTCATCACCCTCCAACTCATGAGGTGGATTTCCCGGACCCGGTGGGTCATTCACTTCTGATGTCTGTTTCAGAAGTCCCCAGCGAAGCTTGCAGAGCTGAGGATCGCGATGGAGTCTTGCTCCAATTGTTTTCCACGAAGGTCTGGACTTTGTGTCCTGTTTCATGCCAATCAATTCCTGGTCATCGGCGTGGGTCCACGGACGAGCCGGATCAGGAGGTGTATTAGCAGGAATAGCATGAGTGATGTGCATCTGTGGAGACGGCGGAGCTTTTGGATTGGGAGTCAAGGTCAGAGGCGGTGTTCTGGGTCTTGCTTTCCCACCATGAATGTAGCTGATATCCTCTCTTGACGCAGCTTCACCATCGGAGTCATCCGAATTCATGTCTGCTGAACGGGCGTCTGAAATAATGGGTAACGAGGTCGAATGGACAGCATCAAGATTGTGGGCGAGTCTAGGTTCAGGAATTGACTCCCCTTTCTGTTTCTTTTTTGGTTGTGGGTCCACCAGAGATGATGACCGTTGTTTTGATCGCACTGGCACAGGTGTGGTAGTGCGTGTGGGGGCCGTAGGGAAGGTAATCGTTGTTGTGGATCCAGGAGTCGGAGTTGGACCAGGGTCCGTCATAAGACTGGCAGGTCGAGATGTACCAGTGGTGAGAATAGATGTATTGATTGGTGGAGAGCTTGTTGATGCCGGTCGCAGGAACGGTTCTGGATTCAAGACCATGTGGGAAGGGATGCCTCCATGTGATACCAAGGTCGGAGGACCTTCGGATGTCGGGCGAGGTACAAAAGTGTGCAGGCCTCTGGTGTTTGGATGATCAAGACGGAAATTGGCCGGAGGCGGCGCTTCATCATATTCAATGGAGGGCTCGAAGAAAGGCAAGAGTCCTGCCAGATAGTTGAGATGCATGATAGCTCTAGCCAAATGATGATGGAACGCTCGTCCTTGAGCATGATCCATGAGCGATCAAACGAAAGTGGAGCAAAAGGAAAGCGGAGCTTGAGCCAGGGAGCTGACGGAGGGAAACAAGAGACCACAGAAAGACAACAACCAAGAGAAGGGACAGGAAGAAACCAGAAACAAGAAAGAGGAAAAACAACGGGAACACACAAAAGAGAACCCCATGCCAAAAATAGCAGGAGCAATTTTTGAGACCTGCAAACTTGAGTTCTGATGCTGAATCAAAAGTTGGTTTGAGATGGCCTGAAGTTCCTCATTGGGAAAGCCAGCTCGTACGTATAATCGAATTAGTTGTGCCAAGCCTTGTTGGACACGCTGAGATGGGAAAGCTCCTTTGATGACGATGTGACATCTTGACCGAAAGCCGCTGAGCAGGACTGAAGAAGGTGAAGCGGAGAATGGTGAGAGGACTTGTGACACCTGTGTTGGTCCCTGATAGATCAATTCAAGTGGCTTTGTTTCGATCATAAAGCCAAAGAATTCTTGATCAGGCTCAGTTTCGAGGATAATAGGCTTTCCATAGAAGCCGTCGTCCAATAAAACTTCATATGGCTCAAAAGAGGTCAGGCGTTTGTCACCGAAGATGAGGCGATTGTCGACGTAACGGACATGTTTAATGAACAGGTGATGATTGGAGAGAAGTTGATGGAAGGTGTGGTACCAAATCTGTTCACTGATGGATACAACCATGAGACATAGGGCCGGAGAAAGAGGACTGCCCATGGGACTGCCTCGGCGTTGGCGGATGCAACGTTGTCCCAAGGCGAATGTCTGCATATGCAAGGCGGACTTGATCAAGTCTGGTACATCACCGACGACAATCTTCCGAGTGACATTGAGGCGACGAAAGGTTCGTCCTTTGATGATGTCTCCTGGATTGTTGGACTTTCCAGGGTAGACAGAGAAAACTTCCTCATCGTAGACATTCATCTTGGGCCGGAGAAAGTCAAGGAGCATGAACCAGGAACGAAGGAATCTGTCTTGATCAATACTTGTGAAAAAGCCGGCCAAGTCTTGATTGACCAAGATCAAATCGGCGTCGACAGGCGCCGATCGCAATATCGCGAGCAGAGTGTACACGTCACCTGTAGCGAAATGATTTGGACATGCCGTAGGGATAAGCTGGAAGATGAGTCTGGCAAGAATGTTGAGCATTGGTCTGAATGGGGAGTCGACAAAGGAAATAATCGGCCTGCCGCTGCGGAAGTCTTTCTTCCTTTTGGCCAGAATATACCCAGATGGAAGCTGGCGACCCGATCCCACTGCCCACGGATATGCACGTCCGTGCTGGCGTTGAAGGGATTCAACCAAGGAAGTCACGATTGATGATGGTTCGCTGGGTAGGGATTCAAAGATGGACGGGTCTTGGAATGTCTTTTCGATGGATTCGAAATAAATGCACGGGCAAAATATTCGCAGAGAGGAAGCGTGTTTGTCCTCACAATGAAAGATGGCACCATCAAAGGTGTCTTGAAGACGTCCAATTGATTGCTTTGTGATGTGATCTGTGATCTGTGACAGGTGTTGTTGCCACAACAGGTGACAAAGGTCGGTGATATCGGACTGGGGCATGGAAGGAAGACCATTGCGCTTGGTCCAATTCTTCAAGCCAAGACGCAGTTGGTTTTGAAATTCCTTCTTGGACGGGAAGACTTTGTTGGCCAAAGATCCTTCCGCAATGACAGCAAGGTCTGGTTGGAGATGGAAATGGAGAAGGGAGCCGGAGAGGACCCAGTGAGAGTCCGAAGGATTGAGTGCCGCACTTTTGTAGCAGGACCAGGATTTGCAACAACATGTGGCTGGGTTCGTAGTCGACCAGTCGTCGATGGCTTGTTTGTGATTACAAAGGATGTCCAACACTGCCGCATGTTTGGTGAAGACCGTCTTGAAGGAAGGAGTGTGACATGGTACCTGGTAAGCAAGCATCCTGACATGCCATTGTCGCAGAAACTTCTTCAAGGTTTTTTGGAGGTCTGGAGCGAGGCACCATGGGGCCCGTAGAGCTGTCGCTTTGGGTGCTGGTTTCCCTCGCCACCATTGGATGGAGGCATCGATGGCATTCAGGGAAAGGGTACGGAAAGGCTCCTGGGTGTTGTTGGCCAGTCGACGTAAAGCGTAGCATAAGGTCAATCCACCATCATTGGATCTAAGCAGCTTTGTTTGCTCGAACCTTGCCTTGGTATTTGAACCTAAGGCGTGGATGATTGTCCAGAGTTCAAGACGATTCTGGAATCTGGTAGAGGTCAAAACTTGACGTACCAGTTGTGGAGTGAACTTGTGTTTGGCACGACGCCAAAGAGTCGCAAGGCCAAATTGAGCATTGGTGTTAAGAAGGGTTTTTTTGAGAAGACCCTTCTTTGGGTGGAAGAATTGGCAAATAAAAGGATAATTGAGGCGAGGTTGCCATTCTTGAATCAGTGCCATTTCCAAGCTGCGATAGCCACTTCTGTCTGTGTAGACTGGAATAGGTGCCCAAATATACAAGTTGTCATGTTCTTGCCAGTAACGAAGTGCCAGTTCAGCTTGCACAAGTCTCTCATTGGTGAGTTGAAGGTATTTTCTGGAGCGGCTGTACTCTCTGTCCATGACATGGTGCATTGCAGACCCCACGTAGAATTTGGGTTGCATTGATTGGATATGAGTGAAACGGATATAGACGCTCTGAGGTTGGAAAAATTGTCTGGAGAAAAGGTTGTGGGAATGTAGCGTGAAGCCCCACAGGTGTTGGAGGTCCGCACACCCTTCCAAACTTGACTTCAGCTTGGGATTAGGTCGGTGACCATGGAGAATTGTCAAGAGCATCATTCGCGTTTGGATGATGCGGAATCCTTGAAATAAATGGATGCTGTAAGTCATGGTGAAGGGAGTCAAAATGTAAAGAATGAGGATCATCGAATGGAGAATTTGCAAGTGGGATTGAAGCACTTTGTGCTTGAGTTTCCGACGCAAGAGCGGGGCTAGTCAATTGGTAAGGCTGATGCCTGCTGTCATAGCCCGGAGGAGGTTCAAAGCATCATAGTTTTTGCCCATGAGATTGACTGGGATTCCCATCATGACTGCCACGCGTTCTACAGTCTCGAGAGCGTCAGCTGGTTGCTTGGCCCACCATTCTTCCGTCTTGGCAATATTTTCGGTGAGCACTTTGCGTTTTGCTTCGGAAAGAGCAAGTTCTTTCAACCACTTGTTGAAGGCTCTGACTGCGAGGGTGGGTGGCATGTTCTGAGTGAGCCACGGATTGACACTGGTGGTGCCGACAAGAAGGGATGAAGGATCAAAGCCCGGAGGTGCAGGAGGAGCTGGTTGTTGAGAGCGGGGAGGCTGGAGGGCCAGGAGTGCCCGGAGATGAAGAATCGCCTGGGTTTTCCCCGAGTTGTTGTCGCAATTGGGCGAGTTGACTCCGGAGTTGAGTCAGTTCTTGTTGAGTGTCAGGGTCTGCCATTCGGGTAGGAACCCAAGTATGGATCAAGTCTGCGATCTGTTGAGCAGCGTACTTGGTGTTGTTGGTCTTGTCCAGCAACTTTCCATCCTGTCTGGCTTTGCAAGATGACACCTTGTCAAGATCCACCCCTTTGTTCCATAATTGAGTCAATAGCTCCGTCATGAATACCACCGCTGCGATGTCCCCTGTAGGAATCAGGTACGCTTCACGCCCATGAGCCAGCTTCCGAAGCCAGAAGTTGTTGGCCTGCTGATATAGTAAGGCCGCTACTGGAAGCTTCAGTGGATCGCATCCCTCGATGTCGAGCTTTTGTGTGAAAGCTGAAGGTCGAATACTTCGAGGGAAGGTCAAGCCGTTGATCTTCTGATTGTCGTAGTGGTCTTGATCGTCTTGCCAATGAGGGTTGAGATCGAAGCCATATGTACGACTTTCATCAATGGTGGTCTGTCCTCCCGGTGACTTGGAGTGCCGGAGCGGCGAGGTTGTGACGACGGGATTGATGGAGTACTGGGCGAAGCCAGTTGAGTCGGAGCACATGGAAGAGTAGGTGAACATGGCGGAGTGGCTGAGCTGGATTGACGTGGATATGGAAGTGTTGGTGGTGGTGATGAAGGAGGTGCAGGTGGAAATCTTGGATTGGTAGGTGGAAGTCTTGGATTGGGCCATGTATGCATCGAAGCTGATGGATCTGTTGGTGGTGTCATCATATAAGGTCCCGACTGGCGCATATTGAACTGAGGTTGGAACTGAGGTCTGGACTGAGGTCGCAGCATCTGTTGAGAGTGCCAAATCGCTGATTGCATAGGACCACACCATCGAGGAAAGAACGGAAGAGCTTGCCGTACAGGAGGGCGAGGAGGCTCAGGTTCAGCTCGATTTCGACCAAGTGCTGGTGAGCGGGATCGATCAGACTCTGCCATGGTGGCGTGGGCAGTTCAAGATTACTGATGGATCAAAAAGCTGCGGTGGTTACAACGATTGACAGGATGAAATGAAATGGAACATCACATTTGAGGTACAGAGACCTTGTCAAGCAAAGTTGGCATGTGCATCAAAGTCACTAAACAAACTCAGCAAGCTCCTAATGACCGGAAAAGTTCATAGGAGTGAAAAGCAAATCAAATGGGCAAGTCAGCAGTCGCATTTTGCCAATGCGTTTGTTCAGGAGATCCCCAGAAAAGAAGTCATGATCCTGTTTAGGACAAGAAAACTAATGATACACAATCAGAGAATGCTGTTTTAAATGCTCAACGTTTTCGTTTGGCTGCATGCCGTTCCTCGTTGGCACGATAGTTGACATTGTCCTCAGAATCTGTGTCCTTAAGTTCAATAGGGCGCCGTGCCAGTTGGTCATCATCCTTGAGGTCTGACCATTTGATCGCGATGAACTTCAGCCCCACGTGGTAGCTATGAGCAATCGTGTACTTCTCCGGAGTAGTGACGATTCCCTTTTTAGCTACATTGAGCTGACATGTCTCGTTCCCTCCACCGCGCAGTGCAAGATGTTCCACTGAACCTCTATAGATCGCCCCAATGGTGATGTCTTGCTGGCCTTTGCCTTTCTTCTCCATGGAGTCGAGTAGTTCCTGTTCTGCCCATGACGGGAAGGTCTTGTCAGCATTGGCAATCTGCCGGCCTATGTAGAATGCTCCAAAGGTGGGCATGTGGCATCTCTGTAGATTTTTGTGGTAAGCCCAGTTTGCTGGTCGGATCTTGCCCTCCATAAGGATCAGCTGTGCGGTACTGAGGGTCGTACCATGGCCAAGTGCCCATGTGACGAGGGTTTGGCCGCCAAAAGGTGGAGGCATTTGAAATCGGCTCATTTCTGGCAGCGGCATGACTAAGGCTAGCATGCCTGTTTGTGGAAGTTCTCGAACATAGCATGCGGACAAGTCAAAATCCGTCAGGATGCCTGTACTTGACAATAAATGTATGGCCTTTCTGCCAATGTCTGTGGGAATTCTCACGTCCACGTTGGTCAACTCGTCCATTGCTTCGTCAAAGTGCTCTTGGACAATACTCATGGATGGTTGAGGAAGCTCCTTTGCATCAAGTTCATTTGCTGCTCTCATCCGATCAGGATGGTTGAGAGCATGTTTGACTTGGCGAACCCATTCCTCTCTGGAACCTTCTTGAAGGTTGATGGCCATATGACCAGGTGGAAGAGTGGAAGTTCGGGATTGAGCTGAACCAGAGCGATTGGGATGATTGCCCTGGCTGTGGGAGTGCTTCTCCAGCGAATATGCCGTCAGAGGCTTTGAAGGATACTTGGAAGGCTGTTCATCATAAGATTGATGTTTGTAGTGTGGCTTTGAGTAATCGATCCATCCAGAGGGATGTGTGTAATATTGAGACTTGGACTGGTCTTTCCAAGACTGCCAAGGCTTCCACTTTTTGGTGGAGCCGTAGTCAGGGTAGGTGGAGTAGTCTTGGTAGTCCGACTTGTCGGGAATTGAAGGTTGTTCGTAGTGATGGTCATGCCAAGATGGAGGTTGCTGTGTAGTGGATGGATAAGTATACTCATCACGACGTCGAAGTTCATCACGTTGATGTAGGTCTTCCCGGTGACGTGGAGAGTTGGAACGAAGAGTGACTGATTGGGGACGGCCTGGAGACATGGAGTCATCCCGTGAGCGGGAACGTCGACGATGTTGGCGGGAACGACTGTCCCGTCTGTGACGTCTTGGACTTCTTGGGATCGAAATGGGACGTTTGTCCACCTGAGACGCCATATGTTGAGACCTTGACCTGGAACGGCGATGAAGCCGTGGAAGTGGTGGTAATGGGACAATGGGTGGAGATTCTGCGACTGGAGTCACTGATGGGAGTGGAACCCCACTTGCATGAGGGCTCTTAGACCTTTCTTTGGTCATTTCCATAAACGCCTGCATGCCAGATTCCACTGTGTTGCGCATCTGTTGCATCATCTCTTCTGGATTGAAAGTGGGATGTGGCTCTTGTGGAGCGGGTTGAGATTGAGTTGGAACAGGAGGAGTCTGGACTGGTGGCACCGTTGGTGGCTCAGGCACTGATGGAGGAATTGGATGAGATGCGGTTTGTTGGGAAGTCTGATGGAATGGGAGAAGCTGCTGGAGTTGCTGAATATGGGTCTGAGCTTGGGAATTCAACTGTTGATGCAGCAATGCATTTTGGTCCCGTAACTGAGCCAACTGAGCTTGAGTCTGAGCTTGTGACTGAGCTTGAGACTGTTGGTTCATCAGATCACCTCCACAAAATTGACCAAATTGTGCTGCAGGTTGAGGTGAAGTAAAGGCAGGCGCTGACCAGCCACAGTTCCACATGTTCTCCGAAAAGTTTGGCCAACGACCAGGAAACATGGCCAGAAATAACAGGTCTGGCAGCACTGTCAGACGATCACTATAATGGTAAACACTAACATTGGATGCAACCACAACTCATGCAGTATTCGTGATAAGGCTCAAAGGCCCTCGGCTTTCAAGTCACAACCCTCTGGACGGCTAACGTGTTCAACCCCTGAATTAGGTGCACAATTTCAACCTCACCGAGAAACCAAAAAAGGAAGTGACCACACCTGTAACGCATGTCCTGTTGCCTGCAATTTCATGTAAATTGGCTGCGGACAGTCTCTTGAGAAAACCGGAACGATTGTTAACGTGGCTTCCAGCTATGCAATTCAGCGAGAAGGAAGGAGGCCCCAAACAGCGGCAAGCAGTTTCAACATTCACTCGACCGACGTGTGAAACAATGAAAAGGGCAAGCTGTTCACTTTACTTAGACGAATTACTAATTCAAAAGTGTAAATTCAGACATCGATTTACTGTCAATTGTTAGCCTGGAAAGGCTTTCCCCGAAGGATTCCTGCCAACTTGACGTACACAGCAGGAATGACACACTTGCTCAGAAAATTCTTATCGAATTACTGTTGTGGAGTGCATCGGGCGTGCACAAACAATCCCTTAAAGTCTGACAGGAAAATTGGATGACTTGGCGAGAAAACCATTGTAGAAGAATTCTTTCTTTGTCCTTGCAAAAAGCAACTGTTCCATCTGACGAAGTCAGCAGTAAATCAGATTGCGAAAACCGTACATTGGATTGAAACCTGTTGACATCGAGGTTCAGAGGAAGGTCCTGATGCAATCGAAAACCGAAAACGACTTGCCGGTTCTTGGCTTAGCCGGTCGCCATTGACAACAAGATTGAAATAGCAGGTACGTGACTCCAGCGTCCCAGAGTCATATCAGTCATGAATGCAGCCCTCTTCGTTGGGCAATCAGCTGCAAACATGAGATTGCCCCCCTGCAAGTACGAAGTAAAATGGAACCAAGTCAAAGCTATAGGAAGTTTTACATCTTTTCAGATGTTCCACACACACACATATCACTCTTTCACACACAACTTTCACACACAACTGTGTCACACACACAACTCTTTCACACGCAACTTTGTCATACAGCACAACTCTTTCGTGGGTGACTTTTGTGTGGCAGGCGTGGCACTTACGGCACTGGGCTGGCTCTAGTGCCGTGCTTGGTGGCCCTGTGGCGCCGTGGCCTTTTGCGTGGCAGGCGTGGCGGCGCTGGGTGATATCGACGTGACTTTTGTGTGGCAGAGTGGCAGTTTCGGCACTGGGCTGGCAACTCTTTCATGAACCTCTGTAACAGACGACTCTTTCACACAACTTATTTCAGTCACAACTCTTTCCCACACAACTCTGTCGCACGCAACTATTTCATGGACTTCTGTGACACTCAACTCTTTCACTTTCACATTAATTCTTGCACGCAACCGGTCCTCCAATCTCCTTTGTCTTTCCTTCCTGCCTTTGCCGTCCCGCTTCCACACCTGTTTGAAGTTATTGGAAGAAGTTGACATGTGATACATGTGGGGCTATCCAGTCCTTGATTTTTTTTCCCCAGTCTCTGTCTCAAGACTTGTTTTTCCGTGCTTCCTAAACCATTTTTTCTATTTTTTTCTGAGGTATGGAGTGCTGGGTGCACGGTTTTCGAGATGGTCACTGGCCGATTCCTTTTCACTGGCCGTGACAACAATGACATGCTTTTCAGGATTATGAAGTGCCTTCGCAGCGAACACGCGAGACACCAATATGTCACTGCATAAGTTTTGTTGTATGATCCCAACTCAACTGTAAAGATTGACTGAGACATGTTTCATCATGTTTCTCTGTCACTTGGATCTCACAAATACATACAACTAACTACTTCAATGTGATTGCAAAACGCTTCTATATTGCATCATATTGCTGTTCAGCCAAAAAGAGAGGCAGGATTTTTGAGGTCCAGTAGACTGCCAGTAGCTCCAGGAAAGTCCTCAGCATGGAGTCCTTCTGTCGAGTCAGTCGAGTCACAGTCGTCACTTGTCGCCTCATGTTTGCTTGGCGCTTGTTGCTTGTGCCTCAGGCAGCTCGGAGCCTTTTCGCGGAAATTTGTTGGAAGCGGCAAGCTATCCGACCGGCATTTCCGCCGTGAGGAGGGAAGGGAGGGAAGAGAGGGAGGGTATAGGGAACCAACAGAAGCGACAGACCGGCCGACCATGAAACCTTCCGAGCACACAGAAATATGATATGAATATACATATATACTGTGTATATATATATATATACAAATGTAACATGTGTATATATATATAAACATAAATCAAGAGAAGGTTTTGTGACAACGTTACCTTATTTCACATCGTTGATCACTTTCCAGGATGGCGCTTTTCGTTGTGGCGCAGACGCCAACGGAGAGCCCCTGAAGTTTATCGGCCGCGAGGACTTCCCACGTCCTCCAAGGTTGGAGTTTCATAGAGGGACGGATTTGGTATGATTTGATGTTATTATCGAAGGAAGTTTAGAAGTCAAACTTCCGACAACATGGACAGATGGAAAAGCAGAGGTGGGAAGAGTCAGAGAAGAGAAGAGAAGAAGAGAGAAGATCAGAGAAGAGAAAGAGTCAGAAGAAAGAAGATGCAGGTGCGCGAAAAGGTAGAAAAGCCGCGATTCACTGTGTTTTTCCAATGATTTGTGTGGCTCCGGAGGGTCGACAAGTAGGCTCGCTGAACGGCAGGTGCAGAGCCATCTGGCCAGATGAGAGATGAAAACTTGCACGCCGTGGCGCGAAGCACATTTCGAAGTAAAAATGTGCAACACACACCAGCATCGGAGCACTTTTGGAAGTTGAGATGTCGAAAAAGCGCACGCCGTTGTGGCGCGAGGCACATTTCGAAGCCCAAAGTGTAAAAAACTGACGGTCTCGGACCACTTTTGGAAGTTGAGATGTCGACAAAGTGCACGCCGTTGTGGCGCGAAGCACATTTCGAAGTCAAAATGTGAAAAGCACCACATGCTCGGCCAAGTTTTGGACGTTCAGATGTCGTTTCGTGTGGCAGGCGCAAGGGATTGTGCACCTTGTCAAAAGTGAGCAAAACGGGAAGGTCTTTTAGCAGCTTCAACTAGAACCACCACTACACTACACTACACTCCACTGCATTACACTACAACTACAACCAGAATGAATTACAGCTACGACCACAATTACAGCTACAATACGTTACGCTACACTACACTAATTTCATTACGCTACACTACACTACACTACACCACACTACACTACACTACATTAGACTACACTACACTACACTCAACTACATTACACTCAATTACACTCGTTCAATTACACTACACTCAATTACACTACACTACACTACAGCTACAACTACAACTACATTGCATTACACCACACTACACTAATTACACTACTCTACGCTACGCTGCATCACACTACACGACACTACACTAGCTACAACCACAACTACAACTACAACTACATTACATAGCACTACACTACACTCCACCCCACTACACTACATTCAATTACACTACGCTACACTATAGCTACAGCTACAACTAGAACTACAACTACAACTACACTACAGTACATTACGCTATACTACACTACACTAATTGCACTACACTACACTGCGCTACACTACACTACACTACGCTACACTACACCCATTCCACTTCACTTCACTTCACTACACTACACTACACCGCACTACACCACACCACACCACACCCCACCACACCACACCACACTAACTACAGCTACAGCTGCAACTACAACTACGCTACTTTACACTACACTGCACTAGACTACACTACACTACCCTACATTACATGACGCTACACTCAATACGCCACCGCAAATGCAACTGCAACTACACTACACGAATTACGCTGATTACACCACAGCTACAACTACAGCAGCGCTACACCACACTACATCCAGCAGTTGTGGGTGAGGTGACCGACCAGGTGACCACTGCAACGATTGTAACCACTCCAAAAAACACAATTCCAACCACCTTTCAGTCCATCAGTGGACTCGCTGTGCCATCCGTGATTCTCAACAACCAACCTCTCCTATAGGTTTCCTATTTTTGAAACTTCCGCCGCCGCCTTGTGCGGTACTACTGGTATATCAAGTTCCGTCACTTGGTTTTTCCATACTTTTTCGCTCTTCTTACTTTGCAAGAAAGAACGAAAGAAAGAAAGAGAAAGAGAGAGAGAGAGAGAGTGCGCGAGAGAGAGAGAGAGAGAGAGAGAGAGGAAGAAAGGGACATCGAAAATGGCAAGTAGAGTGCAGAGTTTATTTTTTCCGATTGGGCCTGCGATGCGGTCTCGTTGTTGTTAATGCTGCGAGCAAATGCTTGGTCCATCTCTTGCACTTCCAGGCATGGACCAGGCTTGGGTAACACGACATAACTGCAGTGACATGACTTCAGAATCAGTGGCCTGATGTCAGGCCGATCATGGAAGAATTGAAAGAGCCCCTTCAGTTGGAGAGCAGCGGAGATGCGGGCCAGGCAGGCCAGGTTGCGGCCAAGGCATTGGTGGAGTTGTGCCTGGGCAGAATTTGGCATGGGTGATCCTCAAAGGAATGCCCACGCGGATGCAACGAAATGCGATGGACCTCATGCCTAGTTTTCAGTCCTGATTGACGCTGTCTGTGTCTATGAATAGGCAAAGCTCAAGCACCAATGAGCTTGGAGAGTTGAAACACGTGTTCAAAAGTATTTTCGTCCTGTCTTTTCTAGAAGCAAGGTTTTGATACTGGTTCTGCTCTTCTGCCTCTGCGTTTTCACAGTGCCTGCTTCGATTGCTTCGCCCAAAATTTGAGTTAACCCGGAAGACCTCATCCATTTGCAGTCATCAGCCTGCAGTATGCCTTATGTACCTGTGTTTTGAACCATGGCACGAAGTTATGATTGGAGCTGCAATTTCTTCTCAGTTCATCTGATGGATGTAGTGCTTTCCTAGCTGGAGCCATGCTGGAGCCTGGAGATGTCGTGCTCTTGATATTTGGCATTGTGACATATTGTGACATGCTCAGGATCTTGGGGTGCATCACTCCAGACTCTTGGATTAATTTGGACCAGCTGCTATGCTATGCTTGCCTGTAATGAATATTTGCATTGTTGAAACTACTTAATTGCCTGCGGCAAGCCCGCCGGCCACAGAGAGGTGGCACCAAAGGAGTGTGCTGTGCACCCTAGGTGGAAGCCGGAGAGAGAAGCAGAGGAGAAGAGAAGAAGAAGAGGAGAAGAAGACAGAGCCGTAAAACGGAAGCAGCTTGTGTAGGAAGTGCTTGCCATATCAACTTATTGACCGTATACCAAATTAGTACTGCCCCCAAGCGCCGGGTACTATGTATGAGCTTTTGGGTTGACAGCAGGCCGCTGCAGGGAAGGGTTGCCCCAAGCAGGTTGATGTGTACGCTAGGGGGAAGCCGGAGAGAGAAGCAGAAGAGAAGAGGAGAAGAAGGAGAAGAAGAAAAGGAGACGATGACAGAGCCGTAGAGCAGAAGCAGCTTGCGTAGCAAGTGCTGGCTTTAACAGCCTATTGACCGCATAGCAAATGAGTATCCGTCAATCAGGTTACTGCGTACGTCCTGTGGTTAGTGCAGCTAGGCGATTGTAGTGCTGTGTGCACCGTTTCACTAGCAGGAGCAGGAGCAGGAGTAGGAGTAGGAGTAGGAGGAGGAGGGAGGAGTAGTAGTGGTGGCACCAGCGGCAGTAGTAGAAAGTAAGTAAAGTAAAGGAGAGTAAAGGTAAGTAAAGGTACGTAAAGGAAAGTACAGGTATGTAAAGGAAAGTAAAGGTAAGTAAAGGCAGGTAAAGGTAAGTAAAGGTGAGTTAAGTACAGGTGCGTACAGGTAAGTAAAGGTAAGAAAACGTAACTAAAGGAAAGTAAAGATACGTAAAGGTAAGTAAAAGAAAGTAAAGGAAAGTAAAGGTAAGGTACAGGTAAAGTAAAGGAAAAGTGAAGGTAAAGTAAAGGTAAAGGGTCAAGTAAAGGTAAAGGGTGAAGTAAAGGTAAAGGGTAAAGTGAAGGTAAAGGTAGGCTAAAGGTAAAGTAGAGGTAAGTAACGGTAAGTAAAGGTAATTAAAGGAAAGTAAGTAAAGGCACGTAAAGGTAAGTAAAGGTAAGTAAAAGTAGGTAAAGGAAAGTAAAGGTAAGAAAAGGAAAGTAAAGGTAAGTACAGGTAAGTAAAGGTTAAAAACGTAAGTAAAGGAAAGTAAAGGAAAGTAAAGGTAAGTAAAGGAAATCAAAGGTAAAGAAACGGTAAAGCAAAGGCAGAGTGAAGGTAAAGTAAAGGTAAAGTAAAGTTAAAGTAAGGTACAGGTACAGTAAAGGTAAAGTAAAGGTAAAGGGTAAAGTAAAGGTAAAGGGTAAAGTAAAAGTACTACTACTACTACGACGACTACTACTACTACTACTGCTACTACTACTACTACTACGACTACTACTACTACTACTGCTACTGCTACTGCTACTGCTACTACTACTACTACCTACTAACTACTAACTACTAACTACTAACTACTAACTGCTAACTGCTAACTGCTAACTGCTAACTGCTAACTGCTAACTGCTAACTGCTAACTGCTAACTGCTAACTGCTAACTGCTAACTGCTAACTACTAACTACTAACTACTAACTACTAACTACTAACTACTAACTACTAACTACTAACTACTAACTACTAACTACTAACTACTAACTACTAACTACTAACTACTAACTACTAACTACTAACTACTAACTACTACTACTACTACTACTGCTACTGCTACTGCTACTGCTACTGCTACTGCTACTGCTACTCCTACTACTACTACTACTAGTACTACTATTACCTCTTACTTGCTTACCTACTTGCTTGCTTGCTTGCTTACTTACTTATTTACTTACTTACCTACCTACGTACTTACTTACGTACGTACGTACTTACTTACTTACTTAACTTTACTTTACTTTTACTTTACTTTACTTTACTTTACTTACTTATTTACTTACTTTCTTTCTTACTTACTTACTTTTCTTCAGTGCTAGTAGTGCTGGTAGTCTTAGTAGTATTACTAGTATTAGTAGTATAGTTAGGGGGAGGGGAGGGGTGTGGTAGGGGGAAGGGTGTTGGACATGATTCAGACGAAGCAGCAATGCGTAGCAAGAGAACAAAGGAAGAAGTACAAACTAAACCAAGAACAGCAACAGGGACAACACCTTCCAATCAGACACGCCGGCAGGCTGGTGATTTCTTTCAACAATTGCCAGGCGTTCTGGTCAACACCGGGTTTGCCTTTTTTGTTTGGGGAGACTGACAAATATTATTCTGGAATGGTTTGGTGGCTTGACTTTAGAGATTTTGTTGGTTAAACCCAAAACAAAAGGAAAAAATTGGAACCTCCTATCCATGTCGTCCCAGAGTTGAAACACAAGGAGATACAAAGCAAAAAAAATAACTCAATTTACACATTCCAGGTATACCAACGTTAACCAGATCGCAAAAATGTTGGACCTGCAAAAAAACAACAACACCATATGAGGACACCTTCTCTTAGTTGCACCCAAAAAGAACTAATGAACTAAGCGTCCTGACTAGAGGATCCGGCCCGTCGTGTGGACCCAGATGCGGCGCTGAGCACTTGCTTTCTTCGGCCGTCCGGCAATCGAGTCCAATGAGATTCGTGGTTGTCGTAGCTGATGTGTCGTAGTCTTTGAATCTTTGGTAACCCTCCCAGACCCTTGTTCAAACACTGGACCTGAAGGATATTTCCTTCAGAGTAACAAACATTTGTCAAGGGTAATGAAGATGGGCAACGTTAGGACACACAACAACCAAAGTGTTTGAACAAGGGAGCTGAACTGTCATTGCGCCACAATTGGGCTGAAGTGGGCACGTCCATTTTGATATTGATTGACATTGATTGACAATTGATAGTGCAATACATTTCACAAGTGTAGTTGCAGATCCAAATGCCTGTGAAAAATTGTGAAGGTATCTATATAGTTACATCAACTTCATCTAGGCACTCAGCATCAAAATGCTTTTGTCTTGTCAATGAGAGCACAATGTTACTCACTTCACGAAGCTTCAGCGCTTGAAGCCAGAGTGTATGCCAGCAATTTGGGCATTTCATGTCAATTGTGTTGGAGAAATCTTGATTCTCCTGAAAGGAACGTCGTTGGTCTCCCTAGTCTGTGAAAAGGTTCCGCCCTCTTTCTTGGTCAGCGGAGATAAACAGAGAAAGTCAATGGGTCTGACTCGCCATGACTTAGTCTTGACTTAGTTTGACTAATGACCATGGTTCTTGGTCATCCGAATCCATCCTGTGCTCTTGGGATGAACGATTGGGGATTCTGAGGCCATGGACTGAAAGGACCAAGCACCTTGCCTTGAGCGGATGTTGCACGTAATCCGTTTCCATTCTATAAGTGATCAGGTGCAACAAAGGTTTTTGAGCAGGTCTGGAAGGAATACAGCAGTTGTCATTCGGCTCGAAATTTCACAAGGACGAGGAAATATGAGGAGTCATGAGGAAGCATGAAGTAAGCGTGCCTGACGTGCCTGATTTCAAGGATTGCAATTTCTTATAGCCACTGATCGATGTACCAACTAAGGGTCTTAAACTGTTGCCGGAATAGTGTTGGGTTGGGGGCCATTGCCTGTGGAGGAAGCTTGCATTGTTAATTTGCCTGGTTTGTTGAAGTGTTTATATAAAACTTTCTTTCCACCTCCTGACTTCCAGGAGTGCCCAGTTCATGTAGTCAGTGAATATTGTTTGCGCATGTTTCAATTTGAAGTTTGAAACCAGTGAGAAACAAGATGCGACAAAGGGGACACCACAAAGTGAACCCAAAATTACCGCCTCAAAGCAATGGGGAGTTCATGCTCTAAACGGACGGATGGAAGTCCAAGGCGCCACCTGCAACTTGGTATTGCAAACAACAGGATTTCAACCGACACAGTGAGACATATATATTATTATATTGTAATATCCATTAACCATATATATATATATGTATATAGACATATGCATGTGTATATGCATGTGTATGTGTTGCATGTGTATATGTTGCATGTGTATATGTTGCATGTGTATATGTTGCATGTGTATATGTTGCATGTGTATATGTTGCATGTGTATGTGTATGTGTATGTGTATACGTATACGTATACGTATATGTATATGTATATGTATATGTCATATGATACTGTGATACACAGGCAGATCAGGCAGGGGGGCCTGAACAAAAATATGAACTTGGACAGAGGTTCTCAGCAGACAACTTTAAGAAGCCCACAACAGACTACCGGGTTCTGGAAGGTGAATAAAGAGGTTGAGCACCGCATGGCACTGGCTTTTAACTTGACTAAGCTTGGGTGGCTGCAAGCTTCACCCAGTTTTGTGGCCCCCTGTGCTATTCAGAAATAACGAAGCTGCCAACTTGCCTCGCCCGCTTGCGCCAACTCTAATTTCCAATGGCTGCGTGAGTTTCAAATCTGATTTGCCACTGAGATTCTTTGAGTCGATTCAGCAGATAAGACACGTTTTTTGAAGCCGCAGTGTCTCAGTGTCTCGAAGCCACGTTCTGATGTGCAGGTCAACGCACATTCAAGAGTTTGGGATTCGCTTTGCGGCAAAAGCAAGCTGAATTTGATGCAAGGAGACTGACTCCATTTGGAGTTGCAGAAACCCTGTTGCAGCCTTGTCACCTCACATACCTTCAAAGATCTTCAAAGCAAATCAAAATTCCTGAAGGAGATACTCTGCCACTGCATGGCCAAGCCCAAGTACCGTGAAGGTATCACAGGGATGGTGTGGGCAGATAGGCTGAGAGGTGGGGAGATTGAAATGGTTCACTCGAGATCAATATCTTGGGAAACTGATATGGGGCACTGGTTCTGTATGTTGCTACCTTGCAGTATTTGCCGATGCGTGGCTCTTTGAGTGTGAAAAGACACACTGAACAACATAAAGGCATACGCAAGAGACCATGCGCTCCAAATCCAAATTATGCATACATGCACACACACACACACCCAGGATGCAACAACAATTCACATAATTCGTTTCCTTGGACTTACACGGCACTCGGCAACATTTCTCAGCAGCTTTGGATGGACACTTGGAGCATCTGAAAGAATTTGAAAGCAGCCGGAAGCAGGGGAAAAACATGGCAATGCTGGCGGGTAGTGCCGATGGCCTCGCCTTCGTTGCTCCCCTGCGACACGCAGGAGCCACTGAAAGACATTGAGGGTTGGAGAGTGCGGTGGAAAATGGCAATGACGATGCAATTTGGACCATCAAAATCAAACACTCTGTGCCGGTCTGTGCCGAGCATTGATGTGTCTTGTGACTTCAACTGTGGAGCACTGGGATCACTCTCACAGTATCTCACAGTGGCAACTGTCGCAGATTTAGCGCCTCCAGTGCCAAGTGGGACTCGACCAACCAGCAGGGTGCAGGAAACCTAACAGATCCTGTTGAAGCCTGAAGGCTTTGATCTTTTTACATTTTTTGAAAGCATTTTTTACATGTTTAGTACTATTTTGATCTATTTTGTAACTTTCAGCGCCCCTTTTATGAGGCACTCCCGCTCCTCCGCAGCTGCATCCCTCTCGGCACGGAGGCTCAGGAGTCAATTGCAGCAGTTCATAGCGGGCCATGGCGGCCATGGCTCCTTTGCCACGCACATGCCGCGCATGTGAGGTTTGTGCAGGTGCTGTAGCCTTGGCAAGACGATCTCCGGCCCGGAAAAACTCGAGATGCCACAGTCGGAAAGGCTGGTCATAGCTGGCTGCATTGTCTTGGAGTCTTGGAGTCTTGGCTGGCTGCATTGTATGAGTCGAGAATATTCGAGAGCTGCTCAGACTTTTGAAGCCTGCTGTAGAATAATTTGCCAATGACGAAAGGCTTTGTTACTCTACGGGCCGAGGACCATCCGCGAACACACACAGCGTTGTAAGAGCAGATTGACAGATCAGCACGTCCTTTGTTTTGTAATTTCTGGGGCCTTCCTCAGCTGAATGTCAGCTGAACATAGCTGAACTATGACATACTAATCATACTATGATCATACTATGACTATGAGGTAAGATTGCACCAAGCGATACCAAGCGTAAAGTCTATCTGATTTCCCTCCTCCGTCTCTTCGTGGTGTCTTCCAGGAGGTGGAAGATCTTTCTATCACCGCGGCCACGGACATATGCTGTGAGTTCTTGCCCAGCGAAACGTATAGAGTATAGAGAAACGATGAGAAACGTGAAACACGTGACTTCACCCTGGAGTGGAAAACCAGCTTCGTCCGCTTCCATGTCCATGCAGGACACTCGAGTTGTGAAGCGTGAGCTGAATGACAGGCAATGCATTGGTTCCGAAGTCTTCAGTATTCTGAAGTCTTAAGAGGGAAGTCTTATGACATGTAGATATCACATGATACATGAAATTTGACAAATTGTGATGTTTACCATGATGAACACAGAAACACAAGGCAGCAGCAGTTCTGGGAAATGCTGGAGGAAGACTTCGAGGCCGCGCTTCGCAGCATGATATCTCTGTGACATCCTATGCAATAGCGACACAGCTTTTATGGAACCACACGGAACCATTCACAGCTGCTACAGCTGCTTTCATCTTGGCAGGAGGATGTTGTGCCAGAATTTGGTCGTGAAAACCTCCTGCGTGTCTACGAGTTCATCAAGTGTCATGCCTAGAGCGCTACACAGATCCTAGCTTTTGCTGAAGTTCCGAAGAGTTGCCTTGAAACGTTCAGGTCCAAGTTCGTTCACGCGCATCTCTTGGTGTTCAGTTTGAGTGGACAGGTACTGCAAGTATGAGAAGGAGATTCCTGAACTGCCTGAGTTCCAGGACTGTTTTCAGAGAAGATTTGGCAGTTGAATCACAGCTCGAGTGTGTTTGCAGACCACCATTGAAGGACATAGATCCAGAGTTCTTCCCTGGACTACGGGCGAAGCCATGGTGCCTTGAACCAGATCTGTGAAAAAGTCTACTGAGTCCATTTGACGGTTCTTGTCACTTCATATTTTTCAATATCTTAGCATTCGTAGCATCCGGTTTGCGATGACTGGGCAACCCAGCAACCACAACTGACCTCACCTTAGGTGGGAAGTGGATGAAATTGACAACCCTGAGTGGGTGGAGAAGGTTGTGGCCGGCCTTCCCTATGCAGGGAGCTCAGCCGGGCTCAGGGCTATCACGGGGGCTCCTGAAAGCTTCGCCATGTGATGTTCCAGTGACTCCATGACTCCATGCCTGGCGATACCTAGGTGCAGGGTGAGCTGGCAGACCTTCTGGAGGCGGCAGCCATGAGCACATGGACTCACTATACTTGGACTGCTTAAATACTGCTTAAATCAGCTTCACAATTGATGAGGCTGCTTAGATGAGCCAGGTAGAAGACTTTGCCATCAGTATTTGAGCCCACAACAGCTTTTGCAGCACATGGTTGCGGTTTACATCGGTTTACTATACTTTACGATGCAGCAGGACAACGAGGAGTACCTGATCTCTGACAGCGTAGGCTCCTCAGACTAAACCGTAACAACTTGGAGCCAAATCATGCAGCATGTAGAACAACTTGGGTTTGAGCACGAAAACAGTTTGGACTTCACTGAAATCTGCATGAATTAATTTCAATGATGCTCTACTCGGTGCTCTACTCGATGTCTCTACTCCATGCTTGTTAAGGTCAAGAACGATGTCATGGGTGGAGGATGGTCAGGCTTTCGCCTCCGGCGGTCTCTCTCCCAGATCTCCCCTAGATCTCCCGATCTGCCGCCTACGCCTGCATTTTGCGCTGCCTGCATCCGCATCGACCGAGGCTGGGCGCCTGGCTCTCCAGGAATTGCGAGCTCTTCCCGAAGACCGTGCAGCTCTTGAAACAGAAACTCGGGTGAATTTACTATCGGATATCGGATGATATCGGATGATATCGGATGATATCGGATGATATCGGATGATATATACTGCATAAGAATGCACAACATACAGAACCTAGGTTTGCATTACAAGTAGTCGCATGATCGAACAGGATCCAATAGGATCAAACGTGGCTCAGATGCGTTTGGAACCTTTTATGCGAGTTTTCTTGCAGGTGCATGGTTTGGAAAGGTCTAGCCCAGGCTACAAGCAGGTCTGGGATTGTCAAGGTAACGTTGGCGAATCCAAATCGAGTTTGCTGAGGTCAGACGTGCCCTTGGCGATGCGAGGTGTTATTGTTGCCCGGCAGGCCCACGGGCTTGGATGATTTGGTCGACGCGTTCGTGGTGAATCCCGAAACTCAATGGTGTCTTTGGAACCAAATCGCCAAAATCGAAAGTGCCACACTTGCTCACCTCATTCACACATGCGGTGTCCTTTGTGCGATCAAATTTTGCAGACTTGGCTCAAGAAAAGTGCTTCATGCCAAACTTTACGGCATGCGAGTCACAATTATTTGTCTCATTCATATGTTCACAATATACATGAATGATATATGATATATGACATCTGATATATGATAATATGATATATGATAATATATGATATATGTTGTTGCACTGTAGTTTCACATGTATCACCTCATATGTGCATAGTACTGTCGTGGCATGGCTCAAGAAATAGTGCATTGCAGGGTATTAGGGTTTGCTTTTAACCCGTTTCTATAGGTTATCAATCGCATGCTCTCTGAGCAAATTCGGAGACTATGCTCACATGTGTGTTCCCCATGAGCGCCTAACGCCAGGGTCTGGTGGCGCATACTTTGGGGCCATGGGATGATGGTGTGAGTTGTGCTTTGCCAAGACCACTGCAAGCTACATTTAAATTTATCGAAATTTTTGCGGTAAATGTGCCAGGGTGGGTTTGGTTGGTGTATCGCTCAATGCAATCGCGGTGTCGTCAATAGGTAGAGCTGTTGCCCTGCAAACTGCCTCAGGAGGCGGGGGGTGTTATTGCTAGGTATGTGTCTCATTCTTTGCCAGTTTGCAAGCCGGTTGCCCTGAGGGCCGGTGCGTCCAACGCACTGCTGCTGGTGCATTCCTTCCAGCAGGCTGCATATGGGGTGGGCACATCTACTTGGCATGTTGGCGTTGGCCAAAGGTGGTGGGTTTCAGTTAACTACAATATACGATATATGATATTATGGTTTCTGACATACATTAAGTTTTGCAACTTATGTATGTCCAGGCGCGCGCTATGTTGGCCGAGTGTATTCCATTGAGATTGTGACCAGATTATTTGGCCCAGTTGATTCTCTGTGCTGGGTGCTGGTGGTGGCAGTGCCGGTATGGCCTCTGCTGCGTTTGGGGCGCTGGTTGCAAAGTTCTTTTCTGGTCAGTGGGATCACGGAGAAATGGAGTAGCGCCTAGAGGAGCTGGGTTTTAGCACAAAACAGAACGAAATCACTGCCTAACAGCTGCTGTTGGAACAAGACAATCTGATAGAGACTGAGTCTATCTGAGTCTGTTTTGTTGACTCATAATTGCACACTTACACCTCGATATGCATACTCTGCTAACATCTGCTAATACCGTAGCCGGTCTTAAGACAGGCAGGGAAGCTTAACAGCGCAAAATTGCTGGGCCGAGGTAAAAGGTGCTCTGGCTGCAATCGAAGCTTGAGTCTGGACTACCTTTTTCATCCGTTTGCAAAACCCCCACTGGTTTCGAAGTGTGCTTTTTCCAGGAAGTGCGAGCGCAAGCTTCGCAAACCAGCCCGCCCGCTGTGGAGCCTATCACTGTTTTGCGGGATTTGTTCGAGATTGTGGAGTGGTCTTGCAGAGGCGATTCGGACAAACTCCCACAGCTAAAATTCTGCTGATATGACATGTCCTTGCCTTCTAGTCTATGCATGTCTATGCTAATTAATTATCCCAGATTACCCGTACTGACTGAACACCAGTGCCGAACTTAGAGCCACGGTACTTAGAGACAAGGTGGGGACACAGACAGCGCTGGGAGACCATGTGAGGAGACAAGCTGGACAACCCATTTCTTTAGCAAACCCACACCTTTTGGCCACAAGACCCAGGATGCTGGTTCAACGGGGAAAAATTAAACCCAGGTAAATGACCAGGTCCAGGAGGCGGCAAAGCAATTTCACAGAGGGCGGGCCAAAGGTTGGGTAGAAAATTTACAATCATTTATGATTCACCGTAGCTTCCATGTAAGGCAGGAACCTATCCGAAAAAACCGTTGGTAGGGACAGGACTCCTTTGATGAGTTCTTCATCTTTTGTACCAACCATTTTGTGATCCACTCTGTCGTCTCTGTCCTGAGCTTTCACTCCACTCTGTTCCCTAAGTCAACCCTTTGACCCAGATCGGTCCGAATCTCCAGTCCACGGAGATTGAAGATTCAGGAGACCCCTCAGGAGACAGCATCTATGCACGAAATCAACGAAGCTAAATGAAATGTCATCATGAACAACTGTATGGAGCATGAATCGATATTCATCTAGTTTCTCCTTGTTCTCCTTCAGATACCTCTATCTGCAGGTGCCACATGGTGGTCCTCTCGCGCGGCTGCGCCATGCGCGGCATTTGGGTGGCGTTGGCATGCCTTGCAACGTCGGGCCACTGAAAGACTGGAGGTGACAACCAGGCAATGCAGATATGGAGTACAGTAAGGCAACCGCATCTTCCAAAGTTGCGACAAGCTTTGCTGAGTGCCAATATTGACCATTACAGTAGAAACTCCATGTGTAGGGAAACTCCTGCAATTGATGCTCCTTCGTGAACATTTGTGCAACATTCGGATTTGGGTAGGCAGACTGGGCAGCAGAAACTCTTCGAGCCACAGTTCGGCACAGTGTGTGGGAAGTCCGGCGTTTGCGCTGCTCTGGCCTATTTGGTCTCTGAGTTCGAGTTGAAACCTGGAAAGCAAAGCAGTGACTCTGCTCGGCGTTCCTTGAGACTTGCTGCCACATCGCTGGCGAACCACCAGGCATTTGACAAGGAGTACAAAAAGATTATGAAGGACGATAACCTCAGTTGCAGCCCCGTTTTCCGAAGTTAAAGATCTCATGGCAATGGCACACTAATACATAGTGTTACTACTGGCATCATGAAGGAAAGTGGTATTACGGTAAGTATATTATACGGTGTTGAAAATGGGACGGCTGCCAACTTAGTGACAACCTTGGGCGATTTCTGAGGAAGAAACTCCAGAGCTCCCTTTGAGGGCGCGGCTTCGGACAAGCTGGAGCCCCTGGGACTTGACAAGCGCAACGTCGCAAAGGGCCAAAAACTTTCTTGGATGACACAAGCAGGACCACAAAATTTCCGGAATTTGGCTGTTGCTTTGCTGTGCTGTCTTGACGTCTCACTATCCTGGACATCTCTTGATTTCTTTGGGTGGATGGGCAAAGCTGAAGACACAGAGAGCGGCCTGTTGGCAAGGTCCCCAAGATGCAGGGACCTGAGCACTTTGCAAGAGTTCGCTGGAAAATTGCGCCAAAGTCTCAAGATGGCATGGTCGTCCCAAAGGTTCTGGCAGCAGTTTGAGATGCACTTATATAATCTTATATAGACTCCATGAGGAGGCGTCCTTTGGAAGAACCTTGGGCCTCGCCCTAGACTCTCCGAGAATCCGCTTCGATGCTAGTACGAAACCGTACCAAAGTGCCCTTGCGGGTCGAACTGCGTCACCCTCCCAAACAACCCAGTCCATTCTCTGAATGCCTGCAGCGACCTTTTAGCAACTGCTGGGTGCAACCAGCCCCGCTGCTTGTGGCAGAGGTGAGGCCTGGCATTGAATGGGATCTGCGCCCGAGTGCATGTAGAATACCACATTCTATAGCGTTCGGATTTCTTTTCCCAAAACAATAGTTTGATTCTAAACGCCTTTGACTCTGTGTATTGGAACATGTCTGTTGTGCAGGTGAAAATTCTCACATTTGCCGGCGTTGAAGTTCGTGCTCGTCCTTTGAAGCGGGGTGACTCGTATGATTTTCATGTGGCAGTGCCTGCAAAGCCAGCACAGTTACGCAGCCTAACACTTGGGTCCAGATCCTGTTCTGATGGGATGACACTCGTCTGCAAAATGTTTTCGACTTTGCATGTGCTTTGAGTCTGCAAGTTTGCTTGTACTGACAGCCTCGCGGCCAGGAAGGATTCAGACGCACTTTCCTGCTCAACAGCTTCTTCCGCGCCGCAAGTTCATGGTCAAGCGCCAATCCAAGTGCCAATCCGCGTGAAGCATCCGAAAGTTGTGCTTGTCTCAGAAGTGTCAGTGATATTGATGGCTTCATTGCAGTGGGAGCGACCCAGTCTGCGACGTGATCATTGCAAAACTGAAATCTTACTGTAGCAGGTCCTGCGGATAAAAATGATAATGTATACACAAGTGATAAAGCTTGTGGATTGGATCCTGTTCTGAGAAAGCAGTCCTTTTGCCACTGCTCAAGATGTAGCGTGGATGGATTTGTGTCGAGCATGTGCGTACAAAGAGATGCAGATGTGGTGGGGTTAGAGTCGGTTAGAGTTTTTTCCCTTGTGGCCAAAGGCTGCGCAAGGCTGACTGTTGCCACGGCAGGAATTTCGTTCAAACAGATTGGTTGTGGATACAGTTTAATAGTGTTGTGTTATGTTGTGCTATGTTGTGTTTTTTGTATGTGACAATAGCGGAGTGTTTCAGCATCCCGTGACCCTTTCGCCATACACTTAGAACCACCAGGTGCCAGGAACTGGAGTTCAGCCTCACAGCGATGGCTGGAATCCCAGATTTGGAGACATATGGGCCCCCAGGTTGTTTTTTGTTTTTTTTAGATACGTTTTTTAGTTTTTTTGCATGTTTTTGCTTTTATGTTTGAAAAAATCATGGAGTATTTCCAGTCTTCTCGGACCCACAGACACACACCCACACAAATTGCAGGTAGAAATTTTTTCCTCACTGCGCACTTCGGGCTGAGCGTGCTTTGCTTGGACAGTCTTCAGTCTTATCGAAGAGGAGGTGAACAAACCCTTATGGTAGGTATTTGCAGGAATTTGCATTCACGGAGAGGATTGCTGGGCATCGTAGCAGATTTGCGGACAGGAAACTGAGTGAAACGAGTGGTACATGTCAGTCCAATAAAAACAAATCACTTCTGTAACCAATGGACTGAGTGTCGCTTGCGCAGAGCTGCATTGCTGAACTCATTGTTTCTATTACAGGATTTTATAGTTGTTCTATGTTTGGTTATTTGGTGGCTACCGAAGCCAACCTTGAGTTGTAACTTTGTGTTGCGTTTTTTTTGCCAAGGTCCCTCCTGACTGCGCAATCACGGTGGGTGGTCTGCAACCCAACATTTTTTCTGTCAGATTGCCTCAGGTGCAACACAAATTCGCACAAGTAGACTGCCGCAATTATCGCATATTCATGTTTTTTTGAGGTGAGGAACGACCTTGGAAGGAAGACGATTGCATTGTCTTAGACGCTTATCTTACTTTGCAGAGCTGGATAACGGAATTTTGAATTATTGGTGCAGGGATGCAAAGGTAACATGTAGAAGGGTTTCCACAACATGTAGAAGGTTTCCCAGACCGAACAGAAACGTGCTCATGGGGTCTGTATCCGTGTACACAGCATGCAGCTTGGCGTCTCAGTGGTGGCCTTGTTTTTTTGCGCCAAATCGAAAGGTTGTAAGTTCAAGTTTAGGAGTGTTTGTCCTGTGATATCTGACGACGGTGGGCAACTCCATCCACATGTGCATACATGCTGTTGTCTGAGGATACATCCTTCATGCATTCCACAAGAAATGATTCAGACGAGGACTCTGCCAAAGCACAACCAACACATCGAGCATTTTTCATGCCATTTCTCAAAATTTCTCAAAGCGATTTTTCTTCCTTCGGACTTTTTGAATCTTTTTGCAGTTACAGATTTTTTCAGCAGGATCGCTTCGTCCTTGTGATAGACTTTTGGCATCCTGATTTGACCATCCCGGAGAGGGAGGAGAGGGAGCTGGAGCATGGTAGCTTTCTTGACGTCGTGAAACAGTTATAGTATGTTATAGTTATATAATGCTATATAATGCTATATAATGCTATATAATGCTATATAATGCTATATAATGCTATATAATGCTATATAATGCTATATAATGCTATATAATGCTATATAATGCTATATAATGCTATATAATGCTATATAATGCTATATAATGCTATACAATGCTATATAATGCTATATAATGCTATATATCTATATATAAGACTTGTACTCAAGGCACTTGTAAGACAATTGAGAGTACCATTGACATTTTGACCAGTCGCTGGGTTTTCCTTTCCTCTTGATGATTGATATGTATTTTTGTCAGGCTTTGGAGTGGATCTATGACTTCCGCAACAAGTCACAGCCCCTGGCACTTGATGTCGTAAGACCTTGTTTCAATTCGGAATCAGCCCAAGCGCAAAGATGTCTCAAGCCTCTGAAGATTTGTAACAGCCCAAGTGCAAAGGTTTGAGCAAGGGAAGATCAAATACGTGCAACTCTTAGCGCAAAGTGTTTTGTGGCACCCAGAAGTCATCATGCCAAGGCCTCTTGTGAAATGGCAGTAGAGAATGCAAAAGGACGGACAAGACTTTACTGTGAACTCAAAGCACATATTTTGTTCTTTGATGTTATTCGCATCGACGGAACGGGGATGCATGATACGTACGTGGCTGTATGTGGCTGTCTGTGGCTGTGGGGATATGTGCAGTTCTGCTCAGGTTCCGAAGCTTCCAGACGGTTTTTGGGAGACGTCCATTTCTCAAGGAAGATTGGACAGATTTGGAAAGGACAATAAAACGACATGAAAGCAGTGTGTTTTATCCAACACAGCGTTTGACAGTTTGCAGTGCCACTGGAGGCTTTATGTCTACAGTGCCTGGGGTGGTTTACGGCTCAGACAGCCAAACGGCCAAACATGACATGTCGTTAAACATTTGGAGCCTTGGTTGCTGCCTGCAGTAGGTCAAGTTAAGGAGATGGATTTCATGTGATAAAAAGTACATTGCTAAGACTTGAATGAAGGCCTTCCAAGCACGTTCAAGAGGCTAATTGCAGTCACCAAGGTGCATACACAGAAGAGAACGTTCTGAAAGAGCCTATCGGTCCAGATGCTCGAATCGAAATGTTTGGGGATCTTGTAAGGAGGCTGAAATCACAGTAGAACCAAGTGACATTCAGTTGTGATACAGCAGATAGGTTTCCTCCGTCTTTCCAGTCTTCGCTGCTGACATTCTACACTGTGCATGAACCGGTTGGCCGTGAAGCCTCTGTCAGCTACAACGTAGTATCAATGTAGCTACAAGCGCCAAGGACACGCTCGGCGGGTTCAAACTCGGCAGCTTCTGATCTGGACGGCTGAGCGGAGAAAACGACTCTGCTGTAGGTATCCGAGAAAATCAAAAAAGGCAGCTTTGGATGGCAGGTTTCTTGCAATTCCATCTGAGGTAGGAGCACCACTGCCCAAAGGTGGCTTCCTCTTGATTCATGTTGGGTCCTTTGCAAGTTTGGCAGGTTTCATCACTGCCAAAACGAAAGATGCCATTGCACATGCGGTACACTTCTTGAAACGACATTGGGGTTGTACGTTTCGTTTTTTGTTCACGGGGCAGTGATCCGGGCTGGACCTCGCAAAGACACCATCGAGTAAATCGCGCAGAAAGCAGCAAGAAGCCACTTGTGGCATGCCGCACGCCCAAGAGTGTCCCTATCAAGAGCAGAGGCTGTTCATGAAATTACTGTATGTCAGGCCATTAGAAACCCTTACGACTCTCAACCATAATATAAGATAATATAAGTATAAGGTACAAGTATTAAACTGTTTCAAATACTGTAGTTTTAAGGCAGGATCTCCTGTGCCAAACAGAAACAGAACGCTTCTGTGGTGCGGCTGCTCTTAGCTCAGGGTGCTCCTTTTCCAGTGGGTTTCAAGTATTTTCCACTTACTCTGTGCGGCCCTGCCTTTTTGGCAATTACCCAAGCAGTTTTCGCCTGCTCGATTTTCAGAAAAAAGTTGGAATAGTGGCGTAGCGTCCCTGCAAGAGGAGAGATTGCAGTAGAATGATGAATCTTTCAGTTTGGGCGAGGCATTACTAGACTGCGACTCATTTTGTATTGGCATGTTTGGCACTAGTTTCCGCCTGTGAGTGCAACCCTTATCAATGGCTACCTCAATGTTCTTGCGTTCTTGCACATCTTCGTCTACCCGCCAGGTAGAGCCCAACAGAGGCCAGGCCAAGCTCTCATACAGCAGTTGAGGCGAGGTCTCGATTCTCCGGTTCTGCATTCTCTACTCCCGAGACATTAGCCATCATTAGCCCCTTGCACGCTGACTTTGAGGGGTCCCTTGAGCTGAGCAAAAGCTGTTTGAAAAACATTGAAAAACAAGCAGAAGTGAAACCTTGGAGATCACTGAAACTTGGTCTTGAGTACTGCACAAGCAGTACAACTATGTACAACTCACATGTCTTCACAAATGTAAACAAATGTAAACAAAGACAAGCTGAGAAATGCTGAGAAGTGAAGACAACCTGGAGCCCTGGCGGAGACGCCTGGCGACGATCAAACGCGTCTCGTATACCCGTCATGACGAAGTCATAAATTCCCACGAGCTTAAGGCTCAACAGCACGTAGGTCAAAGGGTATCCGGGTATCCTGCACTTCAGAACTAATCAAGGAAAGCATGTCCTGCTAACAGCACACTTCCGATCCAATCAGAAAGTGTTGTCCAACAAAATTGGCATCAAAATAAACCGTGCGAACGTCAAAGGACGCTATCCACAGACACACGGAAGGACCCATTGGATTCACCCACAGAGGATGGTCGAGGCTAGGCAACTTACAAAACTGTCCAAGGTCAAGCGACCAAATTAATGACAGGTTGTGCATCAAGACACCGGACACATAGCCCCTACGTACTGGTCACAAGAGACAGAGAGAGAGAGAGAGAGACCACAAAGGTCAGTGTGTGCACCGTCTCGACCCTCCACGCTTCATCGCCCCCGGTATGCACACAGAAACGTAGAGTATAGTCGCCAGGGAACCTTAGATATGAGGTGGAGAGTGTGCTGTTGCTGATGTGATATTAGCCAGCAACCATAGCAACCCCAAGTGCAATCCTGCATATGGGGGCACCTTGTTTTTGGGGATTTAAGCATATTTCAGCAATATTTCATGGCTTCAGGATAGCACCATACTAGATCCCAAAGCTCGGGTCATGGGCCATGGGGTCACATCCTGGGTTACCATACCATCACCATCCAATTTCTGTGATCGTGGATGATCGTGGTATCCGATGTCAGGTCATTGGAGAGTTCTGCAAATGTGAGCAAGGCCTGGGGGCCTGGGGGCCCGGCGATTTTTTTTTGCCGGAGACGTTCTCGGAACCTAGAAGAAGCTGAAGCTGAAATGGGTTACACGTGGGTTACAAATGGGTTACCTGTAACGGCTGGAGAACTTTGTGAACGGCTTTGGTCCATGTCCTTGAAAGCCGTCCAACAGTCGACACGGTGCAGTGCAGGTTTTAACGACACTTCGACGAAAGGGCAGCCTGTTGCATCCAGAGGAGAGCAACTCAGGGATAGAAAATCAGGATAGAAAAACAGAGAAAAACAGAGGGTCACACTGACTGTCCAGGTCTGTCCAGGTACTCGTAGACGTCATAGACTGAGAGGCCAGTTTTCTCCTGTGAGGATGTCCGAGTGGCCATTCTGTGCCTTGGGGATGAAGGCTTTTGGCAGGAAGTGTTCCTGGCTTGTGACACCAACCATCAGAATCGACATGTTTATGTCATGTTATATATATATATTTATGGAATCCCTCTCATTTCTGCTTTTCTTGGAGCAAGACATTGACAGATATGTCAAGAATGGTTCCTGAGATGGAGATGGGTCGGCACAGCAGACTGTATCGACTGTGCGGTCGCTGGAAAAAACAATGAAAAACAAATACTTTCTCCACGTTTTTTTCCAAGACGAACCTACAAAGTTGTCACTGCCGAGAAGCAAGGCTCGTGTTGGTTGTGTTGGATAGTAAGATATGCACTGCCAGGGTTTGCAGCTCCTGCACGCCAAGTTGAGAGTTGGACCCTCAATGTGTGTGACTCGACACAACACAGGATGAATTTTGTTGGATGCTGTATGGGGCTGTAGATTGTGCTGCAGCCTGTCCACAAAGCATGGTGGCAGCCATCACAGTTCCACCAAGTGTCTTTTGCCAAACACAATCTACATGTCAGAGCAAACTGACTTGGGGTATCCGACAAGAAAAAACAAGCCCCAAGGATGGAGAGAGACAGTGACCCAGTCTACGAAGGTAGCATCATCAAGCCAGGGTCCAGGTGAACTTGCGCTCCTTTCTGGAGTTGTGTGCAAATCATGTGCAAGTGTAGGGTGGTGCGGTCCAGAGGTGCGACTGATCTTCAAAGATTTTTTGAAGGCTCCATCTTGATCTGCCGATAAACTATATAAAATTTGAAAATCCAGACAAGAAGGAAACCGCAGAAGATGGACAATATGGAAGGTCAAAATATTTCACTGTTGGTACACAAGTTGAAAAAGATGATCGGATACCAATCGGTGCAAGTCCTCTCAAGTGTAGTCAAAGCTGCACGACATGTAGATATAGGTGACTGAGCCCCTTCAGGACAAGTCTAGATTTAGAAGCTGGATGCTGAAAGCTGAAAGTCTATTCGTCATCTGTTTTGCTTGTTTTTTTGGTTTGGCTGGTTGTGCGCTTTGTTCCTGGTTTGGGGCGATGTTTGGAATGCTTTGGGCTGGTGTTTGAAATGCTATGGTGTGCTCCCAGGGCACCAAAAGACGACCAACTCAAACCACCAACCATTAGCTGAACAAGTTGCGGCTTGTTTGCTGCGTGCCTGCTGCGTTTTTCCAATTCTTGTGGTTTGCACTGCATATGGCCTTCTATTTTGAGATCTTTTGCATCACATCGTTGCTGAGGCACCTTACACACGAACACCAAGGATGTACAGCGTAGCATGCTCAGCAACTAGCAAACTGGAAATGGGAAACCTGAAACTCCAATCATTCCATGACGCCACGGTCATTCTATGGTTCCTTGGTGCTGGTGGCTTAGAGCTTTCGCCAAGAGGCTGCTGCGACCATCCTGGATGACCAATGGGCCCTAGTTTTCCAGCTTCTCAAGGCACTCTCCAGATTTTTCCAGTCACATGGTGCCCTACAATGACCCTACAATGGCCCTACAATGTGTGATTCAGTCCCGTGTAAGAGGCGGTTGCTTCTCATTCACTGGATCTCGCTTGGCTTGGTATTGGCTAAGACTGACTAAGTCACCAAGTGGCATAGAGAAAAGATTGCACACAGATTTCTTGTTGAATTTGCGGAATGGACCGGAACCGATTTTCATTGAATCGGAAGTACAAGGTGAGTCTTGTTCGCCTGATGTCATGTATGTGTGCACTTTTGTCAAGTGGGTTGCGAATGGCACACCTTTGCCTGCAGGATGCACGGCAAGAAGGGGCGCTCGATGTACAGGCGCCAATGTCACTTTCATTTGCAATTTACTCTTGTTATATATCTCTTGTTTCATCATTTCCACAGGATGAATGGTGTGTGGTTTCGCATCAGATACTGCTGGCATTTGATTAGGTCCTCAACAGTGTGGGGATCTCAAACATCTGAATTACAGCTTTCCCCCGCTTCTCTAGGCAAGAGAGGTTCCCTGTTTTTATACTCTAGTTTGGACGGTGTAGTGTGCGTAGTGATTTCTTTTGCGTCACTTTGTAGTCTTTTTCTTCTGTGAACTTCTGTGGCTGAAAGCATTTTGGAGCCATGATCTTGCATGATCTTGCATCTTGCAATGTGGCCCGGGTTGCTTGTATCAATCCTAGGCCATGGCCACCCTGAACAAAGCCAACTTGCCGGAAAAGCGATGATCAAAGATGATCAGTTTGTTTAACTTTTGCAAAGCCAACTTGTTTTGAGTTAAAGCATTCTGGAGCTCCAAAAGCTTCCATGGTTTGGGATATCGGATAGGAGCTTGCCACGACTATATTTCACTCTGCGGATGAGCTGGAATCTCGGACTTGCAGTAGCCCTTGCACAATCCATCAGTATCTCTCCAACGTCTTTTTGAAACATATGCACACATCCTGTTAGCCTGTTATATTCCCAAACTTTTGCCATTGAACATCTGAAAGCGGTTGCCTTCGGTTTCAACGAAAGGTTTGTAGGATTTTTTTGCTGCGCGTGTGATGCCGTAGCATGCTAAGGCTTGAAGTGGAAATGAACACCTGCTCATTTAATACAGCCATTCAAAGCCAAAGCCTTGCTGGGAACTGGTCCTTGCCTCATCTTGCCTCACTTTCCCACAGCCTCACTCACATCTTTGGGGCTGAGACAAAGAGAAACAGCGGAAAAGTTGCATCCTGGTCAGATCCAAAGTCATCCACAGTCTGTGTTTGCTCTAGCCTTGCTGAGGCCGAAGGCAGTCGGACTGCTCAAGGCCACTGGATTTTCACACTAGTCATCACTAGACCCAGCAAGGATACAATGAGACGGGTGCGAAGAGGAAATCAATCAGCATCAATCAGCAGTCAGGATTTGCATCCACTTTTTCCCTGGAACATGGCGAGCCTAGTCAGGTTTTGCTTGGTGCCAGGCAATGTGGCGAGAGTTGGCAATGCCAGACATTATCAGTGTCTGAACTGCACCTGATTTCTGATTTGCCAGCTTGATTTGCCGCAACGGAATACAGCGCGTGAGAGAATGATGATTGCACTGATTGTGCCATGCACCAGGTTACAACACCGCCATTTGGGCATCCGCCAGTGACGGTAGCCACACTGGCACTCCTTGTTGGATGGGCTGGGATGGAGTATGTTTGGACTATCAGGTGGATGGAAACATGGAGATGCAGACTTTCTTGCACAGCATGTGAGAAGACCACAGAGCACAGTGTTTGTACAAAGTGAAGGCCTAGTCATCTAGTCACGGCATGTCATGACGAAGTCTGCTTGAATGTTTTGAGATGTTCATGGCAGGTTGGGAAGTGGCACTGGAGCTGTTGCGAGAAGTTTGGCTAGAAGGTGGATCCCCAGGGATCCCCAGGGTGGATTGTGATCGAAGTGAGCTGCTGGAATCACCAATTTTCAGCATATGCAGCATGAGCTTCTTCAGATTCCTTTCAATGCTCTCGGTCCTGAGAAGATATGAGTCACAATCTTGAGCGCTTTTGGATTCTGCAATGAGGCTTGCCAGTGTCGATCTCCACATTCACAGGAGCTATTTTGGCATGTGCACGGCACAGAGCTGAGATTGCAAAAAATTGTACACCGAGCCACTGAGCTGAATGTCCTGAGAAGCTCTACAAAAAATCAAGTCGATAGATAGACTTTAATAGGCTCAATAAAGACATAAACACGATGTTTGGTCCCCAAACTTGAAGGTCTGGCCAGTGGCAACGTGCCCTGCTTCTTCTAGCGGATGCACGGACACAGCTATTGCCACCTGATGTGCCTGCAGTCCCAGCACCACAACGGCAACATTTGCAGCGAATCGACAGGTGGTCAAATGTGGTCAACACATGTCAACACTGAATGTTGTTTCGTGTTGTTTCGTGTTGTTTCGTGTTGTTTCTGGGAAAGTCCGTAGTCCGTAGTCCTAACATTTCATTCTCGCCTTCATCGCTTGTGAGGCCATCCCATGCAGCTGCAATCCACGCATGCAGCGAAGTTGGAAGCCAAGTTCAGAAGTTGAGCCGATGCAATCGGCTCCGTTTCAGATGGACGTAGTCGCGCCTCTTTAGACTCAGATCCACCATAGCATCGTCGTATTGTTGCGATGTTCACCACTTCTGTTTGAGGAATTCAAACCATTAACATCCATTAACCATTAGACTGCAGGCATACTATGCTTGTGGACTGAAGCCTGTTGACCGAATGCGAGCATTGCGTTTCCTTCTGTCACTCCACGCACAGGAGCACGTGTTGAAACGTAAGGAGTTTGAATATGACTCTCCAAGTGAAGGCTGCAAAGTGGCAGCAGAGCCTGCTTTTGCTGACAGACATGGCTGGACACAAGACATGGCGGGACACCCAGAAAGAAACCCCAGTGTGTGCTTCATGTAAGATACATATAATATACAGTATGTATAATGCAATATAATATATATATAGTTCTTATATAGTTATATATATAATTATATAACGTTATACAAAGCTATATATATATATATACAAAGCTATATATATATTTACATAGTTATATATATACACATGTATGTAGCCTACAACCTATATAAAACAATTATAACAAATTCTACTACTATTAAAGCTTGTCATAGTCACATGCCTCAGGCCTGATCTCGTGACGTTCAACACTGCCATTCTTTCTTGTGCTCGAGGCCAGCAATGGAGCCGTGAGCCCAGCAGTTTGCACATTTTGAAGTTTCAAATCTTTCAACTGCTTTCAATTGACTGCACATGATATATGCCGTGACTGTACATGATATATGTGACTGAAGCATTGGAGCAGCAGACCAGTCTCCTCAATTTCTGAACTTGAAAAGGATGGTCCTTGCGGCTGCTCTCCGGTATGCTGCTAGATCAAGTTCTTCCAGATGTCAGCAGCCCTAGAAAAATCTCAAGTAGCATCAGAGGGACTGTCGCAAAAAAAGAGCAGCGTTCAAGTTGTATGTTTTGTTTGAACGGACTGTCTTGTCTATGTTTTGTCTAGACCACTTGTGCTGTGCAGCAACCTTTCACACTGGATATCCCCTGACTTGTACGTTCATCTCTTGTGAAGGTCACCACGCATAGAGCCAAACACCCAGCCTGAGAAAACCGATGCCCGAGTTTAAGCTTTAAAGGTTTGGACAAAGGACGACTTCACAAGCTTGAAAGCGAGTCCTTCTTGGTATATACATATCCTGAAAATCATGTTCTCAATCAACATTCAGAACATGAATAATGGCATGAGTCGCATGAGTCTCTGTGTGTAAGGCAATGGTGGAAGCGTACACGTGTTCCTGGAAGCCCCAGCCTCAACGGAGCGGCTCTTTGCCATGGATTGATTGTACGAAAAAAGAAATGAAACAATGGCGGAAGTTATTGTTGAGTGCACCAGTGCATCTACACATAATCCCAACATATCCAAACTACAGCAATCTACATGTATTGAGCGTCCTGATGGGTTTGCCTTTTGCCATAGGTGGGAAGAAGCACTGGCTGCAGTTGCTGAGCTGGAAGGCTTCACTGGAAGCCTGGGGCCCTGATTTCATTGGAGGTCAGGATGTTACAACTGTTGCATGGTGCTACGGTAGCTTGAAGCAGACTGCATCAGACTGCATCAGATTGCGCGTTGCGTGTGTCTCGATGTCTGGTGATAAAACTCTTGGCTGAGGCAGTGATGCCCAGGGTCGAAGTTCTGCCATGAGTGCCATAGGAATTTGCAGGCTTTGGTAGACTCTGAATGTCGAAAAGGACATGAAGTTGTTAGAAAAGGACGAAAATAGGCTCATTGACTCATTGGTCATGTACCAATACATTTGATGCATTTTGCAGGCAGTGGCAATGGGCTGTGCAGTTGCCAAGACCCCAGTGCGGCTCCAGCAGGGGTGGATCCTGCTTATGTGGAATAAAACTCCCTGAGCTCTCCAGGCTTGGTGACTTGGGCTTGCAAGCAGATGCGATTGCAGGAATCCTCAGCCTCTGAGCTTTTTTGGAGAGAACTAGAACGAGGAATATGAGGTTAGCACTGTGGAATATGCGTGGGCTAGCACTACGAAGTCCATTACGAAGTCCACTATGAAGTTCATATAACAAATATATAACTAAATATATAACAAATATATAATAATTATAATTCATAATAATACACTTAGAAGACTTATCGCGTATTTTTTTCCCCGAGGCCTGGAATAGCTGTATCAGTGCATGTGCAGCTGCCAACCGCTGGCAACAGGCTGCAAGTGGGGCAAGCAGTGTTTGTGTCGATTCTTTGGAGCGAAACATGAAAGAAACACTGCAAGCATTGGCACTAATAATCTAGTATTTGCATAATATTTGCACATAGTGTCCATATGTGTCCATTGATGATCATCTATGATCATCAATGATCACTGATGCACATTGTCTTGGTAGGGTCAACAGCAGTGCTTGCAAGGCTTGCTATTTGCATACAAATGCCCTTCACTTCGGAGCAACATTGGAAGGCCAAATCCTCAGAGACCGTAATAAAGTCTAAGGATGTCTAAGGTTCAATAAAGTTTGATAAAAGTTTGATAAAGTGCCACAATACAATCAATACATATACATGCATTGCATTGCATTGCTGCCTTGCGACTCAGGTTTTCAAGGAGCTCTGAGAGCTTGCAGCACGCCCAAAGCATGGCGAGCTGCTCTTGGACTTCTGGACGAGATGGCAACTCATCGAGTCATTCCAAGCTTGAGAAGCCGACACCCAAGATGACTGTCGTATACTGTCGTGCTTCGAGATCACCCTGATGCGAAGTTTCGATGTGAAAAAGAATGTGTATATTGTATATATATATATATGTATATATATGGTTGGTCTTCCGACAGGTGAAAGTCTACCGACTGTTCATTCGCACATTTGCTCCATGAGGTCTTACTTCTGCAATTAGCAGCTTTACCAGTGGGATCCTTGAACGTCCCAGATCCAGATCCCAACATGTGACCTGATGTGATAGGTTTGTTTATCAGGATCCTGCATGAAATCGTTCCTGCCTGAGCCTAGGTGGTCAGTGGCGCCATGTGTTGGCACTCAGTGGACAGCTTGGGAAGCCAGATGCAATTCTCCAGACCAAAGCCAGGGGCCCAGCAACTAGTAATTACTGTAGAGTAATATGCAGTACACAAAATGAATTGTGATCAGTGATAGTCCATTTGCTGTTGTATGCTGGTCACAAATGCCACAAGCACCTAAATCGAAACGTACTGATGGGAAGAAAAAACACAGGGTGCTCTGCAAACAACTTGCAGGTCCTGTCTGAAGTGGGAAAGAGCAACTGGCCTTTGGCACTGTGCCTGCTTCAAGGTTGGGACTCGAAAAAAGAACTATCTTGCCATGTGAAAATATCTTGTTGTGCGAAAAAGAAAATGCTTGCCACATTTCTGAGAAGCGAAGGCAGAAAAGGCTTTCAGTTGTTTCAAGAATCAACAGCCTTTGCACCATTTTACACCCTGCAATCGACAGCAAGGTGATGACACTGCAGAACTTGGGAGTGCGACAGGCTGTGCTGAGGCCGTAGCGGTCGCGGCCAGGAGCCCTAGCCGACCAAGACGCTGCCAGGATGAAAAGAGACACAAAGAGACCAGTGTGTGCATTATTGACGATCGGAATCAAGATACTTATAAGTGAAGAACTTGAAAAACAATGAAAACCAGCTAATTTCAGGATGCGTGTTTGAGAAGTAAAGACTTTTGACCTGATTCTGACAATATTCTGACGTTCGAACACAGCATCACCAGTGCCTTTACTCGCAAAGTTCTGATTGTGTGATTCAGGAAGCTGCCAATGCTGGTGTGGAGGGAAGAGTGTGGCTACAAAAAGCTCAAGGCAGGGGAAGCTCTTGCAGTTGAGGAGCTTCAAAGGCTTTCATGAGCGGCACTTGCAGGATGCCTCCAAAGCTGCATAGGTGGGAATTGGGACTCCCAGGAAGCAGCTGGAGCCTTAAATTTCTCAGAAGGATCGCTTGGACATGAGACTGGGACATCTTGATCATTGGTTCTATTTGGATCCAAGAGGTTCAGAATCTTCTTGATTTGTTTTCAAATGTTGCCAACTCAGCGCAGTAAGGTGATAGCATCAGAACTCCTGTTGGAGTACGACCATTTTGACTACCGGGAGCAGCGTGCTCTAGGCCCCTTTGTGGCCAACAGGTGTTTTTTTTTGGTGACGTTATTGGCTAGTGACGGCTAGTGCAAGATGTGGCACTTGAACTTGGTTGCCACAACTTTTCGAGGAAAAAAAACACTTTGAGGAAATGAAGGCAGCCAGGCATAAAGTTCTGAAGGTCTGAATTCCACAGACGTTGGGTGGGTAAGAATTTGGCGAGGCAGAAGAATGGTGCAGCCGGTGATTTCACCACTTTTTGCACTGAAGGCGGATTTCTCTCTCTTCGCTGTGTGATTGCTACAACCCAAACGCAGCCGCACTTAGAGCACGCACAAAGAAAAACATACATGCGCCGGCCATGTCTAACAGGGTCCCTTGTGTCCACTGCCAAAGTGGAAATCTCCAAACAGAACCTTAAAGCTTGGCAATTGGAAAAATAACCTGTGTACTTGTTCCACGTGCATGTGCGCACGGAGGCCACTGAAATCGAAGCGGAGGAGGAGTTCATTTTCCCAAGGCAGCTTGTGCTGCCATTTCTTTGGTAGCACACAAAGAAGCAACCCCAAAGAACTGCACTGGGGAGATTTGAACATGACCAGAAAACTTGTCAGTTGCAACAGTTTCCTGGTTGCTAAGGAGCAGCAGGCTTTGGATCAACCTTCCAAAAATAAGCTGGAGCCTCAGTCAGCTTCAGCATAGGATACTATATTCAATTAGTCATTGAATTTGTTGGTATCTCAGTTTTTTCAAGACCAAGTGATCGAAATGGTTCGATTGAGATCCACTAGTGTATCAGCGTAGGAAAAGCAGTGCAATCAGATGATAACAAGCTGGAAGAAACAAATGTTTGTTGTTCTTTGCAGTAAACAATAGACCGACTGAAGTTTTGCACGGAACAGTTCCTGTCATGCTCCGGCTTCTTGTCCTCGTTCTCAGGGAGTAAAGGGGCAGCCATTTGGAAGAGAAGGCGGGGAGAATTCTCCATCAGAGATCATTAGAGCAGTAGCAGGCAAAACAGGGCACAGTCTTGCGACAGTAGGCCCATGCAATTTACAAGTTTTCACAGTATTCACTCATGCAGTTGACATTTGGTTTACAGGTACCTGGAAGAGATGGCTTCACCCAAATCTAAGACTTCTCTTGAACTGTCTGATTTGGTGCCTGGAAGTGGAAGGATGAAGTCGCCTGGTTGTTGCAGTTTGGGAAAGCGATCGTGAATTCCATCATATCAAGATCTTCCACCAGTAACAACTGGTCTCCTGCAAAGCTTCGAAGTCCAAAACCTGGTGTGATATGGTTGTGTTCTGTTTTCACCGTCCGCCTAGGTGCGTGGGCACTTCAGCTTGGGCTCCCATGGAACCCATGAAGTACTTGCGAAGGTGCTCTTTCTGCAGGTAATGATGGGTAATGAGTTTAAGATGTTGTAAGAGTGGCTGTTTTGAAGCATTTGAAGACTTCCGCAAGGATGCTGTCTGATTTGTCCTTCATATGGATCCGACGATGACACTCTTTTTTTGGCACCTGAGGCGGGTATGGCAAGTTCTGATGGCTGGCTCCTCTTTGCAAGGCAAACCACGAGAGGCACAACATGTTCTTGCGAGGAAGCGACTGACAAGCGACTGATAAGTTGGACTGTACTCTAAAGGTTACAAGCAGTGATAATGCAATGGTGCTTCAATGGGGGTCTATGGGGTCTATTTGGTCCCATTTAGGACACCAGACAAGCGCCCATCCAGAGTCCAGTTTCCGCCCTGGTGCAGGGGTGCTCTCGGGTGCGGAGGCCATGATTGAAGTCTTTAGGGGAAGGTGCTGCAGATAGCCTAGAGATGCCTAGAGATGAATTGAAACAGACCTTGTAGCGATGCAAAGTGCTCAGAGCTGCAAACACCATTGCTACATGCATAGAATCACAGAGCGCTTGTCAGGCCGCTCAATGGCCCACACACATCTCGCTTTCACTGAACTGGTGTGGGGCGAGGCAGCTTGTAGGCCAAAGCAGTGAAAATGTGGATATGGAGGAGGGGTTGATCTGGACACGACCATAATTGGAAGGGGGCTGGTATATGTGATGTATTTGTCAGTACAGGTACTTGCTGTGTAGCTCAAGAGCTGTGGAATTTGCAATCAGCTCTCCTCACTCTTCCATCCATTTGGTTGTCAGGAGTTGCCTGCCACCTTCTCGAGTTTCTCCACGCACTCTGAGCGGCAAGGCCTTTTGCTTGTGCTCAAGCGCTTAAGGGCTGCAAGGCATGCTACCAGCTGCATCACTCCGCTGCAGCCCCGAGACGATGACCACAATGACCTTTGGCTTCGGGACGAACTGGACCAATGGGACCAACAGGACCAACGGGACCAGGACCGAAAGCTGCAACGGCCTCTTGATGCCAAAGCCTTCGATGTGCGACGGCCAAAAGCTTCCACAGCCCCAGCATCGAAGGCATCGAGGGCAAAGGCAGCCACGGCAGCCACGGCAGCCACGGCACCTGGGCGCAGCCGTGCTGAGGTCGATGCATTGATCCGGGCTGAGGCGGCAGATGCAGAATTCAAAGCACAGGAGCTCTTGGAGCGTTTTGCCGTGAAGATGGAGGGAGATGCGCGGCAATGGCTCCAACTGGCCAAGGAGACTTGCATTGTCCATGGCTAATTGGATTTTGTGCGAAGGTAAGAATCTTTAAGAAGATCAAAGAATGCAAGAAACAAATGCAAGAAGGTATCGGATGGAAGGAAGGCTTGATCATTGGCCCAATCAATAGAAGTCTTGTTCTCTTTCCATTTGTCAGCCAAGCAAATCATTTGGTCCATCAAGCTCATGATCCATCATTTTGTAGGCTTAATATGGCTTAGTTTGATCTATGTGGGAGTGGGAGGGGGCATTCTTTTTGGATCCTTCCTTACCCAGGTGTATTGATCCTGTGGCCACTGTGGCGTTGCAGCATTTCCCAATAAAATGCAAACAGGTGCATAGTGGTGCAGATTCTGTACAGTCAAAGGTGAAAGTTGGTGGCAGGTTCAGAGGTGATAGCGATTGCTGCTGTATATGGTACTTGTATGTACTTGTATATGTGGTTGCTGTAGATATGTCGGATGATGTCTGGTGCATTGTGGTCTAGTGGTTTCTTTTGATTGATTTAATCCACTAATATCCACTATATCTTCGATTTTGTTAGACCATTGTTTGGTTTGATTCTGTTGCCTCCACGATCTGTTCAGATATTTTCCCGGAGGGCACCCGATCTGCAGTTTTCCGATGTCGATAGTCCTCTTCCTAATTATATAGTACACTTCACATTATGATGCTATCGTTTCCACATGTTTCCTTATGTTTCGACACAAAGCTGAGAGGAAGCTCTTGAAATCGCGAGTCGTGGACGAAGTCGGGCTGCCGCTGCAGCCTCTGCCATTGTCGCAGTTCAACGAGCGGTGGGAGCTTCATCTGATGTCAAAAAAGCACAAAAGGAGAGCGAGCGGAGCTGGAACGTTTTATGTCAACATGTGGATTAAACATGATTAAACTGTCTAAGAATAGGCCCAAATCACCTCGCTGAACGATACGATTTTCATACACCTGTCAGAATCTTGTCCCGAAATGGCATCGATTACATCCTGCCGCGTTTGGAGAACACAGGAAGCATCTGATGCTGTGAGAGCACTTGGCGATGCCTTGGTTTGGTATGAGCCCCAGTGATGTATCGCCCAAAGTGTCCCAAGGTTTGAACAGAGAAGCTTTGCCAAGCCAAAAGGTAAATGTATGCAAAATTATGCAAATAGATCCTGAAATGATCTCAATTCTCGAAAGCCAAACGGTCCGTCGCCGACGTTTGCCTAGGCGCTGCCAGGAAGTGTCTCCACAGAGATCCAGAAGTGGCTTCAAACAGACAATGGAAGAGGCCGGGCAAGGAGCAGAAAGCACTCCAATAAACAGATATAAACAGGAGGCCTCGGGAGGTCTGCTTCAACGAATGTCCATACACAAGCGCTATGATCGATCTATATCGATCTGATAACGCTTGATCTGATAACGCTTCATCACAAACAACTTTTCCATGCAACAAGGGAGACAAGGGAGATTTCATTAACACATTCTGAACGCCTTTGGTGATTTTGCAAGCAATACCGGCTGTTGCCGGCCGCTTGTTGTGATGATGTGCAGAGGCTCTGCACAGGTGTGGTATCTGAACATGTTGGGATCCTGATTGCCACATCCTCAATGAACCTTTCTTGATAGGCAATTGGTGGACCTCTGACGCAAGCTGAGTGGTTGAAGCCTCGGTGCAGGGGCTTTGTTAAGATCAAGGAAGTGGCATCAACCGATGCCGGCCTTCATACGACAAAACAATCTCATTGTCAAGTAGCCATTCCATTCAGATACAAATTCTCATCTCGCCACCTGCGCCTTTGTCTTGCATCCTCTGCTAGAAAGGATGCAAAACAGTATCCAGGTAAAGTCAGATGCAGTCTTTGTTCGCTTTCATATGCTTTCATTTTTTTGTTTTTTCTTTGCTTTCTCACTACAGTAACCAATAGTTTGCCAGGGCCCGATACTTTTACACCCACAAGGTGGTGGCCTTGCCCTCAGAGCTGAGAGAATCTGAGAGAATCTGAGAGACTGCGGCACATCTCCTTTGGAGTTGCGTACCGCGAGGTCGCCAAGAAGTTCCCAGAGCTGGACTTCAAGGTGAGGTGTCTGTGGAGAACATCCAGAGAGAGAGAGACAGACTCTGTGAGAGATCGGAATTGTGCATGACTTTGAACTTTTCCGTTGTTGTGCTCTTCAGACAGGGAAAACATCAGTGGTATTCAATAGTGATGGGTGGTTTTGCCCAGTTTTGCTCTCCTGATGCATGAGCAAACTTCCTCGGCATGGAAGACCTTGCTGCCAGGCTCCAGCACGTGCAAAGCTCGGTGCCGTTTTTCACAAAGCACAATTTTGATACATCGAGAGTGTCACTGGCATATGGTGCTTCTAGCTGATTTCTGCTCGTTGGCTGATGCTCATTGCAAGTCTTGAATCATGAAAAACACGTTTTAGATGCCATCAAGGCAAGTCTTTCTTTTTAAACAGTGATGCTCAGGCAGAGCAAGTGACGGGTGAATGATTTGACGCTGTGGCCACTCAAGAAGCTGGACATACTACGGGTTTTCCCAACACGACTTTGGAGGCTGGGCAAAGCTGAAGTCCAGACATGCTAGGTGAGCAGGTGTGCTGATTGCAGGGCTTCGCACACCGGCGATCGCTTGCTCTGTTGTTGTTGTTGTTGTTGTTGTTGTTGTTGTTGGTACAAGCAAAGACTGGGGCCCTGAAAACAAGCTACCCGAGCTTATTTTGGAATTTGCTTGGTGTTCTTTTGTGTTCCTTAAGGGCGTCCATCGAGTTTTCTACCGTTCTGGAAAACAAATTGGTGTAGAGTTTTCCCTCAATTTTTTGCTTTTGGTTAAAGCTTCCTGGACGGTTTTCTTCGGACAAGTCACAAGTCTCTGATTTTAGGACATCGTGACATCGCTGTTGATGGCAGCGGCCAGGAGGGCCAAGAGCCCGATTGGCCAAGCTGTGTCTGCCCTGAACACTCGCCAAGGTGCAGGTGAAAGGGGGAGGGCCTAGATTCTGGACGTGTTCAAGCATACGGTAAGGGTAAGACCTATTGGTGACCGCAGGTCTCCGAGTCCTTTGAAAGATGTAAAATGAATTAAAATTATGTAAAATGCAAAAGGATTTGATCGCCAACCTTCCGCATCAGGCAGTGCAAGAGATGCTAAAAGTGTGGTTCCTGCAGGAGAAGTACCCTAACTTCGACCCTGCGGATAACCCTAAGGAGCACGTCGCTGCAACATTTTGGGGATTGACTGGAAGCAAGGAACCTTTTTCTTCTTTTAAGGGGCCACACAAATTGTTTTCCGTTGTTTTCCTATACTTGTTCATGGGCACCAAGTTTCCTATGGATGAGTAGATAGGATACAATATCCATCAATATACATAATATATCATAATAAATAATTGTATATCACGAAAGCCAGCCGCTAGGCTAGGCGAAGTTCTTTTTGCGAACAAAGTGAGTTAAGGGGGTCTGGGGGCAGAGCGGTCCTAACTGGCCAAAAATCGGGAAAATAGGTGGTAAAAAAGGTGGCCACAGGTAAAGTTTTTTAGGGTTATGTACCAGGTGGCAATTGGGTGACGGTGGGGTATCGATTCCCCCCTGGTCCGCCCTCCGAGGGGGACTTGGGGAGATTGCAATGGAGGGGAAAATGATGAGAAAAACAATGGAAAAAATGAGGGAATATGATATAAAACAATGGGAAAAAAATGGGAAAGGAGGGGAAAATGATGGAAAATGATGAGAAAAACAATGGAAACATGAGGGAATATGACGTAAAACAATGGGAAAAAAATGGGAAAGGAGGGGAAAATGATGCCAAGTAAAATTGAGGCTCCGATGTGGGACCATTATCGCGTAATGGAAAAGCAATGGAAAAATTGCAGTTTCGATATGAGGAGATGACACACATGTGATGTGCAGAAGTTCAGTTTTTGCCCAAATTTTGTAAGCAATGCCATCTTCATGCCATATGTCTGAAATTTGGGATAAACAATGAACAAATGAGGGAATATGACGTAAAACAATGGGAAAAGAATGGGAAAGCAATGGCAAATTTGAGTAGAACGCTTGGAAAATTGATTACAACGGTGGAAACAATGAGGAGAGGGTAAAATGATGCCAAGTCACGTAAAGCACGCGTGAAACATTGGAAAAGCAATGGAAAAATGGCCGTTTTGATTAACACCATGTGATGTGCAGAAGTTCCATGATGGTACTTTTTAGCAAGATGGGCAGCATACCTTATTCGCTCAAGATTTAGTGCATTCTTATGGTCCTTTGCTGCCTCGCCGATTGACCTAACTTCAAATACTGATCATATTTTTGACCACCTATTATAAATCTCATTCTTCTAGTTTGTTGTGGTATCCAAGAGGAGATGATACACATGTGATGTGCAGAAGTTCAGTTTTCACCCCTAACTTCAAATACTGAGAAATCATATTTTTGACCATCTATTATAAATCTCATTCTTTTAGTTTGTTGTGGTATCCAAGAAGAGATGACACACATGTGATGTGCAGAAGTTCAGTTTTTGCCACAATTTTGTAAGCAATGCAATCTTCATGCCATAATAAACAATGAACAAATGAGGGAATATGACGTAAAACAATGGGAACACGAAAGCCAGCCGCTAGGCTAGGCGAAGTTCTTTTTGCGAACAAAGTGAGTTAAGGGGGTCTGGGGGCAGAGCGCCCCCAACTGGCCAAAAATCGGGAAATTAGGTGGTAAAAAAGGTGGCCACAGGTAAAGTTTTTTAGGCTTATGTACCAGGTGGCAATTGGGTGACGGTGGGGTATCGATTCCCCCCTGGTCCGCCCTCCGAGGTGGACTTGGGGAGATTGCAATGGAGGGGAAAATGATGAGAAAAACAATGGAAAAAATGAGGGAATATGATATAAAACAATGGGAAAAAAATGGGAAAGGAGGGGAAAATGATGGAAAATGATGAGAAAAACAATGGAAAAATGAGGGAATATGACATAAAACAATGGGAAAAAAATGGGAAAGGAGGGGAAAATGATGAGAAAAACAATGGAAAAAATGAGAGACTATGATATAAAACAATGGGAAAAAATGGGAAAGCAATGGAAAATTTGAGTAGAACGCTTGGAAAATTGATACGCGAGGAAAAACGGTGGAAAGAATAGGGAGAGGGTAAAATGATGCCAAGTAAAATTGAGGCTCCGATGTGGGACCATTATCGCGTAATGGAAAAGCAATGGAAAAATTGCAGTTTCGATATGAGGAGATGACACACATGTGATGTGCAGAAGTTCAGTTTTTGCCCAAATTTTGTAAGCAATGCAATCTTCATTCTGAAATTTGGGATAAACAATGAACAATGGGAAAAGAATGGGAAAGCAATGGCAAATTTGAGTAGAACGCTTGGAAAATTGATTACAACGGTGGAAACAATGAGGAGAGGGTAAAATGATGCCAAGTCACGTAAAGCACGCGTGAAACATTGGAAAAGGGTGAGGCGTTCGCTTGTGCCGCTTTTTTTTGCGTCGCTTGTGCCGTTTTTTTTTGTGTCGCTTGTGCCGCTTTTTTGGTGGTATGGGAATTTTTCCTGTAAATTACCGTATAAAATGGTGTTTTGACGTGTTGCTTTTTTGACGTCGCTTGTGCCGCTTTTTTCTTGGCGTCGGGTTTTGACCTGTAAATTTGTGTACAAATTGGCGCTTTTGCGCTTGTTGTTTTTGATGTCGTTTGTGCGGCTGTGTAGTGGCATCGGTATTTTACCTGTAAATTTCCGTATAAAAGTTGCGCTTGTGTGCTTGCACGTCGACGGTGTTGCTCTCCCTCTACATCAAGTTCAAGAACATATAAACCCTAAAGGGGTCGTGGCTCTTCTTACATCTAGTGCAACAACATATAAACCCTAAAGGGGTCGTGGCTCTTCCTACATCAAGTGCAACAACATATAAACCCTAAAGGGGTCGTGGCTCTTCTTACATCAAGTGCAACAACATATAAACCCTAAAGGGGTCGTGTCTCGTCTTACATCAAGTTCAACAACTGATCATGAAAGAGCAGTGCGTGTAAGTGCTCTACAGCAAGAGAGATGATGAGGTTGCTGTGCGTCTGTCTGTATGCATAGGAACATGAACCTTATTAACTCACCCCACCCCACCGGTAACTGATCATGAAAGAGCTGTGCCTGTCTCTGCTCTATGGGAAGAAAGATGATGAGGTTGCTGTGCCTGTGTGTGCATAGGAACATGAACGTTATCATCCCACCCCACCCCACCCCACCCCCCCCACCCCACGGGTAACTGATCATGAAAGAGCAGTGCGTGTAAGTGCTCTACAGCAAGAAAGATGATGAGGTTGCTGTGCGTGTGCAGGCATAGGAACATGAACCTTATTAACTCACCCCACCCCACCGGTAACTGATCATGAAAGAGCTGTGCCTGTCTCTTCTCAACAGCAAGAAAGATGATGAGGTTGCTGTGCCTGTGTGTGCATAGGAACATGAACGTTATCATCCCACCCCACCCCACCCCACCCCACCCCCACCCCCCCCACACCCACCCCACCCCACCCACTGGAACATGAAAGAGAGAGGTTTATCTTGCTCTGAGGATCGTTTTTTGCATTTCGTGGAAGCGCAATTTCGTGGAAATTTACAGGTAATCAGAGGTTTTTCGGCGCAAGTGATGTCGAAAATGTGTGGGGGTAATTTTCGGCGTAAGTGACCTTAAAAATTTCGGCGTAAGTGAACGTGGGACCTTGGAAAAGCAATGGAAAAATGGCCGTTTTGATTAACACCATGTGATGTGCAGAAGTTCCATGATGGTACTTTTTAGCAAGATGGGCAGCATACCTTATTTGCTCAAGATTTAGTGCATTCTTATGGTCCTGTATCGCGTAATGGAAAAGCAATGGAAAAATTGCAGTTTCGATATGAGGAGATGACACACATGTGATGTGCAGAAGTTCAGTTTTTGCCCAAATTTTGTAAGCAATGCAATCTTCATGCCATATGTCTGAAATTTGGGATAAACAATGAACAAATGAGGGAATATGACGTAAAACAATGGGAAAAGAATGGGAAAGCAATGGCAAATTTGAGTAGAACGCTTGGAAAATTGATTACAACGGTGGAAACAATGAGGAGAGGGTAAAATGATGCCAAGTCACGTAAAGCACGCGTGAAACATTGGAAAAGCAATGGAAAAATTGCCGTTTTGATTAACACCATGTGATGTGCAGAAGTTCCATGATGGTACTTTTTAGCAAGATGGGCAGCATACCTTATTCGCTCAAGATTTAGTGCATTCTTATGGTCCTTTGCTGCCTCGCCGATTGACCTAACTTCAAATACTGAGAAATCATATTTTTGTTCTCTGGGTGAAAAGTATCTGGGTGAAAAGTATGTGCAAGAAGAGTTTCTGGGTGAAGTCTCTGGGTAAAAAGTATATATGGGTGAAAAGTATGTGCAAGAAGAGTTTCTGGGTGAAGAGTCTCTGGGTGAAAAGTCTGTGCAAGAAGAGTTTCTGGGTGAAGAATCTCTGGGTGAAAAGTATATGGGCGAAAAGTATGTGCAAGAAAAAAAATTGGGTGAAGAGTCTCTTTGTGAAAAGTATATGGGTGAAAAGTCTGTGCAAGAAGAGTTTCTGGGTGAAAAATCTCTGGGTGAAAAGTATATGGGTGAAATGTATTGAAGAGTCTCTGGGTGAAAAGTATGGTGGAAAATAGGGGTAGATGGGATGCTGGCTTTCGTTCCCCCCTTCTCAGGTGTTCTTTTTTGCATCGGGGGATCAGATTAGATGTAACCCTCCAGCAGGACACAGCTGAACCCAGTCCAGACCATTCTGATATCAGCAAATTGTACTTGCATTGTCAAGAAGACTTCAATAACAGCAAAGTTATTGCACACATCCAATCTCGTTACGGAACCATTCCGTGTTTTTGTGGATGATTGAGCAGTCGGAACCGACTGTTCAGGAGACAGACTTCATGATGCAGCACTGCAGGCATAGCTCCAGTTGAAATCTTGAGTTTTCCTACCAACATCGCTTCAGTTCATCTTTGACTTTTCCGGTTGTTGTCTCTACCATGGGATTCACAGGTTGTTCTTTACCTTGTCATGTCCAAGCTTGAAGCGAGACATTTGTTCAGCTGATTTGTGGCTCAAATCTGCTCAAGCAGCAGTACATCAAACTATCACTGTCAAAAGTGCTTTTTGATCGCGGCCTGCCTGCAGTTGTATTATTGGCATCTCTAGCTTTTTCGACTAATTCCACTCCAGTGTTTTTTGCAGCTGAGGTATCAGCTATCCTTCTAGTCCATGCCAGTGCATCAGGTGGTGTCCCTAGGACACTCTCATCCTTTTTCCCCAAGAGTTGACAGGATTCACAAAAAACAAAAAGGGAACGGAGGTAACGGGTAAACGATGCGTTTCTTATCCATCCCTACTGTAGGTGCTCTCCGTGACTCTCGCTTTGTTCTGGACTGTCATAGCAGAACCAGATGCGCAAGCACTACTAGGAGATGACCAATGTGAAGGCCCAAAGATGCCCAAAGGGTAAAATATTTTGCAAAACTCTGGTGATTCTGGTGCCTTGGGTCCTCACCTGATCCTCCAATCATGAAATGCATCACTTCCCAGATCATCACATCTTGATGCTGATTTGCATGTGCAACCTGTGCAATCTTCACGTCAGAAATCGAAATCACTTGGTGTGATCTGATCTGATCCGATTCTTGAAGCCCTGCGTGCAGGCGCTGGCCAATGTGCTTTAAGTGCTCTTCAGAGACGGGGTGTCAAGAAAGCTGAGGCACAGCTGTTTGGAAAGGCATTGCAACCAGTATGTCCATAGACGCGTTGCGAAATAAAGGCTGACTAGGCGACTAGATTGGCATGGACATTGAATGCCCACTTCCCTTTCAAAGATCACTCACCAAATCCACTAATGTCCTTGTCTTCCCTTTTGTGCCTTACCCTTAAGAGCCAAAAAATATGAGGAAAGCTGTGATGGCAATACCCCATATGGGCCATATGCAGAGTTGGTGCCAGGACGAGATCAGAGTAGCAGAAGAAGAGTTGGCCGCCTTCATAGAAGACTCCATCAAGGCAAGCCGCGGTGAACAGAAAGCTGTGGCAATTTTGCCTTTCCAGACATTTTTGCGACGCTTCTTGGCACAGAAGGAATTCCAAGGGCTTGGGTGTGGTGGTTTGGTGGTTGGCTTTAAGCATTTTAGAATCTAATTTCTGTGCTGCTTTTCGTCCTTTTTGTATGGATAGCATAGTGGTCATATAGATGTAGGCATTCACAGTATTTTCAACAGAATACAGATGAAACAATGCAAAAATACAGATGAGAATGATGGTTACCGTGTCAGTTGTGTTGTAAAATGTACGTCGAAGTGGAGACTTCTGACTAACTGCTGGACTAGCTGCTGGACTAGCTGCCGCAAGTAGAGTCTTGCGCAAGGCCCAAAGCCTTCCAGCCTTAGAACAGCTCAACGAGGCCTGGCAGAATCGCAACCAAACAAGATTTCTTTTCAAAAGATTTGCAAAGGTAAGGCAGGTAAGGCAAATGTATCATATCTTTGTTTTGAAGTTCTTGCAGAGCATTGCAGAGCATTTTAGGAATTGCTGTGGAGCTGACTTTTGGCAGGAGGTGCTAGTCAACTACACGCACCTGCAATCGATGGGTTTGGCGCTACAGATTTGGGCACCGCTGGTCTTCAAAAGCATTGGAAGTTATCCTTGCCATTTTCTCATGGTGTTCCAATGGTAAAAGGGATCTGTGTTTTCTGTTGGCGATGTTGGAACGTATGCGCGCGTGCGTGACTCTCAAGCAAAGGCTGCTTTGCGAAGCCTCAGGAGTATCGCTGCGGACTCAGGGGATTCTTTCTGTTTCAATTCTTACGCCAAAGTCATTTGAATGTATTTATTCTGATCTTGCGCACAGGTCTTTCCTGGCGTGCTGCCGGCCGCGACTTTTTTGATCAGTTTACTTTTGTCGAACAGGACAGAGCAGTCTGCCATGGGTTTACAAAAAGCTGCAAAGCAATGCACATGTTAGAAACAGAATGAACATGAATGAGACAGGTGAGTCTATGAGTACTGTGAGTTTGAGACAGTTTGAGTCACTGATCCACTTTGGCGGACGGTTATCCATTGGCTTTGCCAAGCAGATGGTGAATGTTTGGATGCAGGATGACACTCATGGAGCTCAGCGGTACTTGACCAAGGAGCAAGCTTTCAAAAATCATGTCTCGGGCTGAGCAATCTTGGGAAGAATAACATACGGAACAGACAAAGGGTGTCCAAGTATCTTACTGTACTATTAGTGTAATGTTAATATATATTAAGTACGACGATTCCTATCTACTACTATACTATCATATACAATCTACATCAATCTACATTGATCTCTATCTTGCACTATTTTACAGCACCATGACTGGAAGATCTGGAAGCCCAGGTCATCTCCATCAGCAACGGCGGCTCAGCCATTCTGCGGATTGGGGATTTGATCCCCACCGGAGATCCCGGAGCACCCTACAAGAGGAACAGTGCTTGCGGCTCAGAAACTGCAGTCATCAAAATCATCAAACAGATAAAACATTATAACATTTATGTACATATTATAACTTATTATAACATATGATGAGACACGATGAACCATGTCTCCAAAGCTATATCACATCATCGTAATCCTATATCAACACACATACAATATAATATATATATATACTGTATATAAATAAGGCCGGGTATAGTGGTGGCCACAGTAACTCCCAGCTCCGCTTGCGCAGCTGCTTGTGGCATGATCACGCAGGGCTTTTCGAATAAAGACACAACTATTTCAGTATTTTTGCTTGTGGTTCTTGCCAGTTTAGTACTGATGCAGTCATATATGATCGCTTCAAATATATCTTTACATCTTCTCTCTTTCTCTCTATCTATCTCTATATATAAATATATACACATTTCCTGGGTTTCTGAAAATGGCTCTTTCTCGGCTTTCTTTCTGATTGAATCTTGTCCCGCAGGTCATGATCCATTCCAACTATGCCTGGGCTCCTGCAACAGGTGAGGCTAGCGTACAGGACAGCTGCTTCAAAGAATTTGATGTGTGCCGGAGGCATGCTGGTGGTCATGAAGTACAATCATGTCCCATATGGTGCTTCAATCTGGCCAGCGTTCTGGTTGATGAACAGCGACAATGTTTGGTATCTCGACTTGAAGCTGATAGTCTTCTGTCATTTTTGACTGCGATTGTTTCATGCAGCGCCGCAAGAAACTGCCATGTGTGTTTCCAAGGCCTAAGGGCGGGGAGTTTGACATTATGGAGTACGCCAATGACGAGGAGAGCAGATTGGGGTTCTGTAAGCGAGTGCAGCGTTTTGACGAACGCACAACATTGTTGACAAGCTGAGAAGTGTGTTTGTTTCGTCTCATCTCCCAACCCGAAGCACTCTGCGGGGGCTCAGTGCGAGCATTTGACGACCTGGGAGGCAAGCAAAATCACTTTCCATGCTGATAGAAACTGCATGTTGGACAACCGCACCTTGGCAAATTGAACAGGAAAAGGGGAATTGTGCCAGACCCTGCCATTCCCATTGCCATGGTCGCCATGGCCGCCATGGCCATTCCCATGCAAATGTCTTCTCGTCGAGCCAAGTTTGGGTGTTCTGCAACTCGCTTGGATTTGGGCTGAGGCAAGTTGGGCTACTGCATGCGCGGCAAGCACATGGGTGGTCCTGGACCCTCCAACTGCAACACGAGCTCTGGCTGCAGTTGTTTGATGTTCTTTGTGTCATCAGATTGCATCACATCCAACCAATGCTGACGAGTTTCTGCACTCATGGGCTCCTCATTTCGTGGATCTCAGTGTTTCGAAAGAGTCATGAATTGCCCAGCCTTGCCACGATCCGCTTGATCAGTCACAGGAACTACTGGAAGAATCTCTTTGGCTGCCGACCTAGACAAGTCCAAAAGAATGGCCAATGGTACGCCAAGAATCCAGGCCATCTCAGTTGCGCAGAGTTGAGATTTGTCAGGAAGCATTGTTTGAAGTACAGACCTTTCTCAAATTTACTAAACCAGGTGTGATGGCTGCTGCTTGGGATGATGAGGGCATTACGGCTACTGGGCCAACAAGTCAATAAGACAATTCATGCAATGGCTTTATCGTAGTGTGAGCGTGGCATCAACACATTTTTTTTTGCTTTTTTTGGATTCAACATGATTCAATACACAAAAATCACAGCATGCTGTGACCGGCCACAATCAGGTCTATCATATTCCTGAGAACCGCATTCCGGCGGACTTGAAGGAAAGCGTTTGTGTGCTGTTTCCGCATCCATTTTGTTGCGAAAGATGTCATCCAAAACAATCAAATTATCAAAACAGCTTTGCACATTTTGCACAGAACATGCAGATGAGTTACTGATAGTCACGCAGTCGTCCTGCAGTCGTCCTGAGTCTTTGGCGATGCTCTCCAGGACGACAAGCCTCGGCCAGAAGGGTGGGGTGAATTTGTAGCTGCAGCCTCAGCAGCCTCAGCTGCGTTCCCACCTGCAAGATATCCCTGCATTGGGACCCCTCCGGACTCCAAGCATTTCGCTGCCTTCGCCATATTTTTTTTTCCGGCCAAAAAAATCGCACATGAAAATTCAATGAAATTCAGGGGCTTGACATCCTTTTGGATCCTTTTAAAAGCTACTCCTACAGTACTGCATAGTACTGCTAACATCAAGGCAGGCACCATTACGAGTACGATAGATACAATAGCAAACTTCAGGATGTTTCTGTGCAGAGATGTGCTGGGTTCTTGTGGGGGTGGAGCAGCTCAGTGCTCTCAGCCAAGGTGGCATACCTGCCGATGGAGCATCACAGTTGCAAGAACATCGCCCAGCCACAGGAGCAGAAGCCGCCATGGAATTGTTCAGAGCTTCGTTTTTTTTTCCGTGTGTTTTCACATGTTTTTACATGTTTTTACATTTTTTACAGAGATCGTTAAAGGATGTTAAAGGTGTATAAAGGTGTTGCGATGTGTTTCGGATTGTCCAAGGCCGGTTCTAATTCTGAGCTGTGAGGAGATCGTGCTGAACATCGCCCTTTGTGGCGATTGGGCAGGCAATGGCTGGTTCAGGTCAGGCGAGGCTCGACGTACCGGCTTCACACGTGGCTTCTTGGCAGTCGGACTATGACTGGTTGCGGAATTGCAGGTGGTGATGTTTGTGGCATTTCAAGGCATTTCACACAAAACAAACATGATAGAATGCCAGAGAACTACGACAATGGTATGATAGTATATATTGATGTATATTGAATCATTATACCTCCAGAGGCTAGTAGCGGCTAGTTGAGTTTGAATGCAACTCACATAGCTCAGGCTGTGGCCCGTTGATTTTTGAGCCAACAAGAGATTGCTGCTCGCAGTTTGCTACAAGCAGAGCAGCTTGGCAGAATTTTACACAGGAGCCAGCAGGACTTTCAAGATTTTTGCACTTATTATTTTAATAAGAAGACTATTTTGAATGCAACTCTTTTCATGTCAATTCTAGGGGCAGATTTGGCAGAGGCAGAACATGCTTGCCCCCAGGATCATCGCATTGAGGATATGTTCAGGACGGCAGCTCAAATAGCGTTACTAACGGCCAAGCTGTTAACCAGCAGCTTTCCACTCAGTCCGACACATCGGCAGCCTGAGTGATCGTGAAGTTTCGTCCAGGAGACAAGCCTACTTTGACATTGACTACCTGAAGGCATTTTCAACAGACTATATATATATATATACATACACATACATATATATATATTATATATATGCATCTATATACCTTATTATAGTTTATTACATACCTGATATACATGCTTTTGCTTTGCGAACATTACCATCATTTTGGTCGCACAGTGTGCAGAGATGCTGGAATGGCAGGTTTTTGCACCTGTGCATGCCCAAACCCCTCAGACTTCTGGTGTCAAAAGGCCAGGGCATCAGAGGAGGAGAATCAACTCACTTTGTTTTCTCGACATCGATCCTGTTGAACTCTCAAATAAGCCGTGGGTTGGCAAGCTTACTTAGCAGATAATATGCTGCGTTTAGCCAGATAGAGTACATCCATATGTATTTTTATATACATATGGTATACATTTTACATATATAGATATCACGTACATATATATGGTATATAATACAGTTAGACTGTTGCTCCCCCGTCTTTCCTATCTACCCGCCCAGATTATGATACAACAAAATTCTATGGGGTAAATACTAAAGACAGGGGAGCAACACCTTATAGAAAACAATAATATAAACCATAACAAACAACCATATAACAAAAAAACAAAACAACATAAGCAAAAATAGACTATACCAAAAACTGAAACAACAAACTATACACTTACCCTCATTCAAAAGCCCATTGTAAAGCCTATACCTATGAGATGAGACTTTAAGATAAATTATGAAATAATTTATCTATAAAGCCAGACCCCAGCAATGGTAAAGCCAATACATAGTTTTTTGAGATTTCCAGTAGGTCTTTATGTTTTGACAAGGTCTGTCAAAAGTTTTGACAAAGTCTGTCAAAAGTTCTAACCACAGGCGTTAGGTGTCAATATCCAGCCCAGAAATCAAAAATATCCCGCCCAGATAATGGGAATATCCAGCCCAGATAGCACCCTGTAGGGGAACAGTCAGGGCAACTGTAGGGGAACAGTCAGGGCAACTGTAGGGGAACAGTCGGGGCTCAAAATGATTTAAAATCCCTCTTAACCACCCAATCTGTAGGGGGGACAGGGAGCACCCTGTAGGGGGGACAGTTTGGCTCAAAATGATTTAAAACCCCTCTTAACCACCCAATCTGTAGGGGGGACAGGGAGCAGCACCCTGTAGGGGGAACAGGGAGCACCCTGTAGGGGGACAGGGAGCAGAAATACCCAGCCCAGATAATGGGAATATCCAGCCCAGATAATGGGAATGGACCCCCTCCATTTTGGGGAATGTATGAAGGAAATTTAATCATTTTTGGGTAGGAATGCACCCCCTACATTTTGGGGAATGGAACCCATACATTTTCAGGAATGGCACCTCTCCATTCCAAGTTGAGAACCGAAATCCAGCCCAAGTAGGAACCCCCTATCCTACCTTATGAGCACCTTTCCAAGTAGGAAATGAAAATCCTACCAAGTAGGAAACCCAAATCCTACTTAATGAGCCCAAGTGTAGGAACCCTTTACAACCCAATCTTACTGAAAACATACAACATTTACAGCAATCATAATTTCTTCAACCAATGCTTGAGGTATTCTATACAAATCCTTTTGTTTGAACAAGGTATAGCCTTCTTTCCAGTTCTCTTTTTTACCACTGGGTGCCCTCTGTGCAGTTTCTTTATGACGGTTTCCATCCATACTATCGCAATCTTTTTTACAAAGAGGTCTGGGTGTCCAAGTGTCCAAGTTAGTCCAGAGCCTAGTGCGTTTCCTGTAATTAAAACCATACTTACAATAGTCAATATCAAAATACGGAAGCCCTTTCATAAACTCCTGCTTCTTCAAAAGTCCGCTCTGGGGATTTTCTATTATAAATACTCGCGGATTAAAGTAGTTAATTATCTCAAGCGTTTTCAAAACGATGGCATTAGCCTCATCAATTTTTCGCGTTCCAACCGTTTTAGCAATACTGTTATTCAATACAGGGGGGAGAAGCCCAGACAAAGTCAAAGTATTTCACTGGATATTTTTTGTATTTCCATTGTAGTATGTCGCAGTTTATATCAGCCCCTTTCAAATCTAATGACACAACAGTCCAGCCCATATTTTTAGCTACACTTCCAACACTACCAGTGCCACTAAACAATTCTAACAATTTCATAATATTATTATAGATAATAATATTATCAAAATTTCATCTATTCACCCATCACTTTGAAGACTTCACTGTCTTTTTCAATTTTATAAAACTCTAGAGTTTGACTTTTAGGTTGCTTCACTCTTCCTTCGTTCAGCATTTTCAGATACTGCTGTTGCTTGGTTTCAAAAGTTCCTACAGGTCTGCCGATTTTTTTAGCCTCAAAGATTTTATCAATCCTTTCCTTTTCAGCATCAGCATCATTATTTTCAGTAGGTTTATTTAAGGGCTGCCGCCCCTGCCGCCGACCCCGGAAAAAAGAAACCGTTGGATTGCAGCACAACACCATGCCTCTGAAGGACAGAGAAGCCCCAAAATTGCACCTCGAAAATGCCTAACGTAACTTCTGAAACCCATAGAAAATGATGATGAAATGATGCTTTTGGCTGCTTTTTTCCCTCTTGCTGCTGCTATGAATTCTGGCTACCTTTTCCGCCTGCTGCTGCAGAAACTTTTGCTGCTGCTGCTGCTGGTCTTCGGATGGGAAAACACCATGGAAAAAATCACCTCCCGGCAGCAAAACACAATGCCTCTGCAGGACGGAGACGCGCCAAAATTGCACCTCGAAAATGCCTAACGTAACTTCTGAAACCCATAGACAATGATGATGAAATGATGCTTTTGGCTGCTTTTTTTCCCTCTTGCTGCTGCTATGAATTTTGGCTACCTTTTACATCCGTCCCCCAAATCGGAACACACCTGGTCCTCGGATGGGAAAACACCATGGAAAAAATCACCTCCCCACAGGGAAACACCATGCCTCTGAAGGACGGAGAAGCCTCAAAATTGCACCCCGAAAATGCCTAAGGTAACTTCTGAAACCTCCTGCTTCTGCAGAGACGTTTGCTGCCGCTGCTGGACCCCAGATGGGAAAACACCATGCCTCTGAAGGACAGAGAAGCTCCAAAATGGCATCCCGAAAATGCCTAACGGGCCTAACGTAACTTCTGAAACCCATAGAAAAAGATGATGAAATGATGCTTTTGGCTGCTTTTTTTCCCTCTTGCTGCTGCTATGAATTCTGGCTACCTTTTCCGCCTGCTGCTGCAGAAACTTTTGCTGCTGCTGCTGCTGGTCTTCGGATGGGAAAACACCATGGAAAAAATCACCTCCCGGCAGCAAAACACCATGCCTCTGCAGGACGGAGACGCGCCAAAATTGCACCTCGAAAATGCCTAACGTAACTTCTGAAAGCCATAGACAATGATGATGAAATGATGCTTTTGGCTGCTTTTTTTCCCTCTTACTGCTGCTATGAATTTTGGCTACCTTTTACATCCGTCCCCCAAATCGGAACACACCTGGTCCTCGGATGGGAAAACACCATGGAAAAAATCACCTCCCCACAGGGAAACACCATGCCTCTGAAGGACGGAGAAGCTTCAAAATTGCACCCCGAAAATGCCTAAGGTAACTTCTGAAACCTCCTGCTTCTGCAGAGACGTTTGCTGCCGCTGCTGGACCCCAGATGGGAAAACACCATGCCTCTGAAGGACAGAGAAGCTCCAAAATGGCATCCCGAAAATGCCTAACGTAAATGCCTAAGGTAACTTCTGAAACCTCCTGCTTCTGCAGAGACGTTTGCTGCCGCTGCTGGACCCCAGATGGGAAAACACCATGCCTCTGAAGGACAGAGAAGCTCCAAAATGGCATCCCGAAAATGCCTAACGTAACTTCTGAAACCCATAGAAAAAGATGATGAAATGATGCTTTTGGCTGCTTTTTTTCCCTCTTGCTGCTGCTATGAATTCTGGCTACCTTTTCCGCCTGCTGCTGCAGAAACTTTTGCTGCTGCTGCTGCTGGTCTTCGGATGGGAAAACACCATGGAAAAAATCACCTCCCGGCAGCAAAACACCATGCCTCTGCAGGACGGAGAAGCCCCAAAATTGCACCTCGAAAATGCCTAACGTAACTTCTGAAACCGATAGAAAATGATGCTTTTGGCTCCGTTTTCCTCTTGCTGCTGCTATGACTTTTGGCCACCTTTACATCCGGTCCCGAAATGGGAAAGCACCATGGAAAAAATCACCTCCCGGCAGCAAAACACCATGCCTCTGAAGGACGGAGAAGCCCCAAAATTGCACCTCGAAAATGCCTAACGTAACTTCTGAAACCGATAGAAAATGATTGATGCTTTTGGTTCCTTTTTCCTCTTGCTGCTGCTATGACTTTTGGCCACCTTTACATCCGGTCCCCAAATGGGAAAACACCATGGAAAAAATCACCTCCCGGCAGCAAAACACAATGCCTCTGAAGGACGGAGAAGCCCCAAAATTGCACCTCGAAAATGCCTAACGTAACTTCTGAAACCGATAGAAAATGATGCTTTTGGCTCCTTTTTCCTCTTGCTGCTGCTATGACTTTTGGCCACCTTTACATTCGGTCCCCAAATGGGAAAACACCATGGAAAAAATCACCTCCCGGCAGCAAAACACCATGCCTCTGAAGGACAGAGAAGCCCCAAAACTGCACCTCGAAAACGCCTAACGTAACTTCTGAAACCGATAGAAAATGATGTAGAAAATGATGCTTTTGGCTCCTTTTTCCTCTTGCTGCTGCTTTGACTTTTGGCCACCTTTACATCCGGTCCCCAAATGGGAAAACACCATGGAAAAAATCAACTCCCGGCAGCAAAACACCATGCCTCTGAAGGACGGAGAAGCCCCAAAATTGCACCTCGAAAATGCCTAAGGTAACTTCTGAAACCGATAGAAAATGATGTAGAAAATGATGCTTTTGGCTCCTTTTTCCTCTTGCTGCTGCTATGACTTTTGGCCGCCTTTACATCCGGCCCCCAAATGGGAAAACACCATGGAAAAAATCACCTCCCGGCAGCAAAACACCATGCCTCTGCAGGACGGAGAAGCCCCAAAATTGCACCTCGAAAATGCCTAACGTAACTTCTGAAACCGATAGAAAATGATGCTTTTGGCTCCTTTTTCCTCTTGCTGCTGCTATGACTTTTGGCCACCTTTACATCCGGTCCCCAAATGGGAAAACACAATGGAAAAAATCACCTCCCGGCAGCAGTAGCAGTAGCAGTAGCAGTAGCAGTAGCAGTAGCAGTAGCAGTAGCAGCAGCAGCAGTAGCCGTAGCCGTAGCCGTAGCAGTAGCAGTAGCAGTAGCAGTAGCAGTAGCAGTAGCAGTAGCAGTAGCAGTAGCAGTAGCAGTAGCA